AGCATGATATGGCTTTGCAAACCATGACCTGCAAATTGAACTGGGCTTGGAAATAAACCAGCAGCCACTGAAGCTGTTAGAATAGGGGGATTGCATGCTCCCTATTAACCCGCACCAGTCCAGATGTAGTAAAAAGGTAAAGGTAAAGGTTCCCCTTGACAATTTTTGTCCAGTCGTGTTCGACTCTAGGGGGCGGTGCTCATCCCCGTTTCCAAGCCATAGAGCCAGCGTTTTTGTCCGAAGACAATCTTCCGTGGTCACATGGCCAGTGCGACTTAGACACGGCACGCTGTTACCTTCCCACCGAGGTGGTCCCTATTGATCTACTTGCATTTGCATGCTTTCGAACCGCTAGGTTGGCGGGAGCTGGGACACGCGACGGGCGCTCACTCCGTTGCGTGGATTCGATCTTACGACTGCTTGGTCTTCTGATCCTGCAGCACAGGCTTCTACGGTTTAGCCCGCAGCGCCACGACGTCCCCAGATGTAGTATTTTAATCTTAATCCTAGAACTGTAGAGCTGGAAGGGGCCCTATGGATCACCGAGAGCAGCCCCTGTTCAAGGAGGCAAGGGAAGAATTCCCAAGCCTCCAGCTCAACAGCTAGATACCGAAACCCCTCAGCTATCCAGCAGTTCTGGATCATCTGAAACTTCCGAACGCTCTTTCGAACGCAGCCCCACAGAGAGACATTGCAGTAATCCAGGTGAGAGCTAGCTAAAGCATGTGTCACCATAGCCACAGGTCGGGTACACTAAGTACTTCAAGGAATGGGCACAGTGATGCAATATGTAGCTCAATGTTTTAGGTCTGGTTGGGAGTTCGATTCCCCAGTGTGCCTCCCGGACAGGGGCTGGACTTGATGATCCTTTGGGTCGCCTTCCAGCTCTGCAGTTCTAAAATTATTAATTACATTATCTTTCCCTGTGTCATTGCCCTCCTGGTTGCTGCTGAACCCTAGGCATTCTCGCTTGGGGGCTGACTCCAGGGGCACACAAAAACAATGGGCCTGACCTTCCAGGCAGTTCGTAACCCTATCCACTACAAACAACTCTGTAGGTTTATTTATTTATTTATTTTGATTTATATCCCGCCCATCTGGTATATTCTACCACTCTGGGCGGCTTCCAATATTCCAATGTTTAGCTCTCCAAGACCACCGAAGCGGATTATCTGGGTCGCCGAAAGCTAAAGTCGAAACCCCTTTGAAAGGGCGTAGGTTCTGCCACGATCCAGCAGCCTGTGCTACAAAAAGAGGACTAGAACCCCACGCTCTGTACATGCTCAGAGGCCCTTTCGCTTCATCTTTTCCTGAAACTGAGCACGGATCTCGAGGCAGGGAAACTGAGCACAGATCAAATGATATCCTCCAAGGGACAGATTGCTTAGGCGGTTGGGCCATCCCAGCTTCCTCCGGCCTCTTTTGTCCGAAGTGGGGCGAACTCGGGAGCCGCGGCCCCTTTAAGGGCCTGCCTCCTTTCTCCCCTTGACTCTCCCCGTGGCTGTGACGTCAGTGCGGGGCCGGCTTTGCTGCTGCTGCTGCTGCGGCGCGAGGCCATGGAGGCTGCAGGAGCGGGAGTCGCGCAGGTTTGGGGCGCCGATTTATGCGCGTGCAGGGGGACGGTGGTGGAACCAGGACGATAGGGCTCCGTAGGGGAGAAAGTAGGGGGGCAACAAGGGGAGATCATCCAATATCTTCCCCCCCGCCGGTCCTCATCACTCGTGGCCTTTTTGCTCCCCCATTGCAAACTGGGAGGGGCTTTCAGGGCGAATCGGAAATGCAAAAGCAGATTTCTCTCCCCCCCCCTCTTTTTGTCTTCTGCATTGATTCTTCATGGGGTGGAGCAAGGGAGCTGATCCTTGGAGGAGAAGAGACGGTTTGCAGTTGGAAGTGATTGGAGGGTGGGTGGGGGGAAGCAAGGATTTCCTCTGTTGTTCCCAGGTTGCATTAGTTTTGGGTAGCTCGTTTACTCTTTGCAATAAGAAGGGAGGCTCCCGATGAGCGTTCAAGCTCTTTATGATTTCAGGAGGATGGTAAACAACACAAAGAGGATTGTTTCGAAGCAGGCAGGAAAGTAGTCATAAGAGTAAAGTAGGAATCATTGCCTCAGGGCGAGCCTGCCTTCAGATCACCCTCTCACTTTTGATCCTCCCCACTTGTGATCTTTAGATTTCCTTCTGTCTTGCCTTGAGTTCTTAGTTTTTCCCCCGGTACCTCCTTGCGGTCCACGTGTTTTTCCGATCCCCTCCACCAGCAATATTTGAATCGCCCGCCCCGTGCAAAATAATAATAGTAAGGCATTAGGCAATGATGCCTAAAACTCTCGCTTTGTTAGGAATTCTCAGACCCCTTGCTTTGGGAAAACTGATTCAAACAATGCTGTTCCTATTTCTGCTGATATGTTTAGTTATATCTGCGTTTCATTCATCTTTCAAAGGATTCAGGGCCTCATGCATGGGATGTGTTTATTCCCCAGGCATGAATTGACCCTCAGTTTGTACATTGAATTTAAAAACCTTTATACAGTGTATATATATATATTTAAAAATCCTTGCAAAATTTAAAATGTTGCATCACAGGTATTTTAAATATTCACATCATTCTGGATACAGAATATGTTTTTGTGTAAGATTCGATTTTTGTCACACGTGCTGAAATCACAGGACTTTAGTCTGAAGCAGGCACTTGGTACTGAAACATTTCATATTCTATATTTGTAATGTTTTGTATTTAATATTAAAATGTTGTTTATTTATTATTCATTTATTTGAATTATGTATGTGCCATCTTTCTCGCCATAGGGAGTTTCACGTATTTTAACAGTTGTTAATAATTTTAAATAAATTAAATATTTTATATGAAGTCGTTCATGGCCAGAATCCAATTGGATCTTTATACCAGCATAAGTACAGTGGTGCCTCGCATTACGATGTTAATTCTCATGCCAGCATACTGTTCATGCACACCACGGCCCACCAGATGCCTTAATGGAAGCCTAGTGGCAGGACTGTATGTATGTATGTACATACATACGTACAGTGGTGCCAAGCATTACGATGTTAATTCGTTCCAGCGAAATCGCTGTAGAACGAAAACATCATAAAGCGATTTTAAAAAGCCCATAGAAACGCATTAAAACCTGATTAATGCATTCCTACGGGCTTGAAACTCACCGTCCAGCGAAGATCCTCCATAGCGTGGCCATTTTCGCTGCCCATGCAGCGAGGAATCCATCCCAGAAAACAGCGGGCGGCCATTTTTTTTAACCTGTCGGCCATTTTGAAACCGCTGATCAGCTGTGCAAAAATCTTTGTTTTGCGATAATCGGTTAGCGAAGCAGGTAACTGATCATCGCAAAGCAAAAAAAAAAAACCCATAGGAAACATCGTTTTGTGATCGCTTTTGCGATCGCAAAAACTTCTTCGTTATGCAATTTCATCATTAAACGAAGTGCTCGTCTTGCGAGGCACCACTGTAGAGTGATATAAATCTCAGTAACAAATTGCCAGTACCGTACTTGGCAAGTTGCTGCTTGTATTCTTCATTGAATACTAGTGGTATGACTTGGTATGTGATGAGGAATACAAGCAATGTTTTGTTAGCTAGTGGCAATTTACTGCTGTAAGTCATATATCACTGTGCTTCTATTGGTATAAATAGCCAGTAGGATTCTGGATGATGTGCAAATAATTTCTTGCTTAAAATAAAAGATCTGTTTAGCTCACTAAACAACTGTTAGTCAGGTTTAAAAAGGGGGCTGTGATTTTGCCCATGAATCACTTTTTCACTTAGAGAAATTTGATGCCAGATCTACCTACCCCCACCCTCGAAACCGATGCCCAATCCAAGTATGTTGCATCACACTGGACCAGTTAAACTGCCCACCAAAAAACTGAGGTTTAGTATTTGAACACAGTTGTGATTTCATCCCCAAATTCCATGACAGACCAGAAGCTGTGCTTTGTCCAGCATTTTTAATTGTCTTTTCTGGGGTCCTATTTGAGGCGGGCAGTTTAGTAAGCCAGCCAGGTATAAGACAAGGTTTAGACATCACAATAAACCATGGCATGAATAATCTAGATTTTGTAAATTGACAACACACTATGAGTTGATATAGTTTGTGGCTGGTTATGTTTGTTCATCACAAATTAGGTTTTAAACAAACTACACCATGGCTTCTGACAAATTACTGTGGTCCCAGTTAAAAACAAATATTTATCTTGATTCAGTTTTTTAGAGTTCTGAATCAGGATAAAGTTTTATAAAAATTATAGTACATAAGGTACTGTACCTTGTACCAGACTGTTTGTGTTACTGCTCAGTAGCTGCCAATTTTGGAATAGCAAATATATCACTGTCTACATTTTCTTCATTTCCCTCAGGTCTCACAGTTACCTACCACCACCACCCATATTGAATGCATCTGGTGGCAAGGTTTAATCCACAAATATTTGTGCCATAAGAAAGTTAGTGTTTGAGATACCACAAAATGCTTGCGTATTTTGCAGAATCTGTGTTGTACTACTAAAGCAAGCGAGGAGCCTGACGTTTTAGTCTTCAATTCCCAGATCTGGCCAGCATGGTCGATTGCAAGGGATTCTGGGAGTTGTAGTCTAAAGAGCCTGAAGGGCCAGAAGTTCTCCATTATGCCAATCTAAACATCCTAAGAAGGAAGGCCTTTGCCTTCTGTCTGAACATTAGAAAAGGCATTCTTTACAGAGGTTGAAAAGGTTGCTTTTGTGGTCCAAAGTTCCCAGAATCAGAATGGCTGCAGAGTTCTTGGAAAGGTCATCTGAAAACGGGTTTCCAACCTTTGCTTCCATGCAACTCTTGGGGGAAAGGATGGTCTGGAGAAAGGAAGCAGGTCTGTTCTTTCCAGATCATGCATTTTCCATAGTAGAGGTGGGTGGGACTTATAAAATTGGCAATTAGCAGCACCTTCCCTCTACCTGAGTGGAGAGAGAAAGGCTTCATGGAGGCCTCATTTCCATTAGCTGCTTAATGGTTCCAAAGGGACAGAGGAATTCTGCCAGATTGACTCGTTTTGGAGGAAGAGGAAAGCCGCCTTCGGGTGTAAGAAACAGGAGTAACTTGATGGCTGAGGAGATGCTCAAAGGCCAAAGATTTCGTTTTTGGGTTGTCCAATTTTGGAAAGTATGAGTGAGTGGGTGTAGATTCTAGAGAATTCTCTGGAAGTTGAGGGTGACTGAGGGTCTCGTATGAACAAAATTCACATTTGTTGCAAATGCATCCCTTGACTTTTTAAAACAGCTTTTAATTAATTGGGTTACCTCCTGCAAAGAGCAGGTCTTTATGTGCTGCTTTCTTCATTTTGTCTTAATTCCTCCCATTGAGTGTGTGATGCTTTCTCAGTTTTCTGCTCACAGGTGGCTTCAAGCTTGAAAGAGCAGGTGTGCTTCAGTGAGGGTTTGATTCTGAAACCTGGTCCTGTATTGCGATCCAGAGATGGCGAAACCTAGACGTTTTGGACTTCAGTTCCCATTATCCTCCCACAGTCTGTCCACAGATGAAGGATTATGGGAGTTACAGTCCAAAATACCTGAAGCATTTGAGCCAAATCATGCCCTTTCCCAACAATAGAATGGTGAATTAGATTGCTTGGGGATGTAATTTCAGTTTAATTTAGAGACCTGCTTCTTGCTTTCTAGAGTAAGAAATGCAGTCTCTTTTCACGTTTCCAAAAACGAAGTCTCAAAAGTACAAGGTGGGCAGAGAAATCTAGTTCAGCCACCAGTCTGGTTTCTGGTATTACAGCAGCTGTTGCTGTTGACTATATCATCCCTATTGTAAACACTAGTGATTTACAATTTTAAGGACAAATGGCAAATAAAATCTCCATTGAGTTCAGCGATACTTAATTCTAAGTAAACATGCTTATCTAGCTAGCAATGTTGCATGGCTGTTGCATGTTTAGCATGCTATTGAGCAGTGTTTCAGGCTGCATTGCATGTTTGGTGGGGACAGGGGAGAGGGCCTTATATGTTGCTGCTCCAAGACTCTGGAACTCCCTCCTACAGGAGGCCAGACTGGCCCCATCTTTGCTGTTCTTCTGTAAGCAGGTGAAGACTTTTTCTCTTGAGCCGGACTTTTTTTAAAATGTCTGGTTGATCAAGGTGTTTTTTTAAAAAAAAGGATTATCATATTCTATTGATTGCTCTTATTTATAAGTTTTAATTCTTTTTTAATAGATTGCTCTTATTTATAAGTTTTAATATAATTCTTTTTTTAATACTGTAACCATTCATTGTTTTAGCGTTTAACTTTGTTTCTCTTAATACTGTAAGCCAGTTTTTAGCGTTTAACTTTGTTTCTCTTAATAACTGTAAGCCGGCTTGGATCCTTTAGAGAAAGGCAGCATGTAATATTTAAATAAATAAATACCATGTGGGGAGCAAGATGGCAGACTTGCAGTGGTTCTTAACCTTTGTTACTCGGATGTTTTTGAACCGCAACTCCCAGAAACCCCAGCCAGCACAGTTGGTGGTGAAGGCTTCTGGGAGTTGCAGTCCAAAATTCCTGAGTAACCCAAGGTTAAGAACCAGTGGATTAGAGAACACAGATACCACTAGTAATAATCGGAAAATATTTCCTCAGGTATTGTACCTTTGCGTTTTTAAAATATAAACCATTGATCAGCATTTTAAAAAATATATAATTTTCAGTGTATTTATTATTTTAGTTAAATCGTGCCTTTCCCTCAGTGCAGACCCCAAGGCAGCTTTCAACTTTAAAAAGTTTTTTTAATAACTTTTAAAAGGAGTTAATAGCTGAAAAGCAGCCACTTGAAATAAAATAATGAAAATCAGGCAAGGCATTCTGTTAAACACAAGTACGGAATTAAAGCAATCTAAAGTCATTTAAAAGCATAGCAAGAGATAAAGGAAATGTACAGTGTTCACCATTGGGAAAAAAAACTTTCTGCAGCAGCTAACTAGGGGCTAAAGCCCTGTCTGAATAAAAAGACTTTTGTCTGCTTCCAAAAGAGGTAAGAAGTCGCATAGACCAGATGGACGGGATACAAATAAAAAAGAAAGAAAGAAAGAAAGAAAGAAAGAGAGAGAGAGAGAGAGAGAGAGAGAGAGAGAGAGAGAGAGAGAGAGAGAGAGAGAGAGAGAGAGAGAGAGAGAGAGAGAGAGAGAGAGAGAGAGAGAGAGAGAGAGAGAGAGAGAGAGAGAGAGAGAAAGAAAGAAAGAAAAGAAAGAAAGAAGGGGTGGCTTTAAAATCTCCCTTGGAAGAGAGTTCTAGGCCAGGGAGCAGACACCAGGAAGAGCCTGTCTCGTTTCTTGTGTCCTTACCAAAGTTGCCTGTGTTTGAGAATGGCAAGGATTGAGGGAAAACCTCCCCCCTGCAAATTTCTGAACGTCCAGGCATATTCGCATAGGAAGATACGTACCATCCTTCAGATACTCAGGGCCCAAGTTGTAGAGGACTGTGTAGGTCATAACCATTACTTTCAGTTGTGTTTGGAACTACTGTATGTTGGTAGCCAAGGAAACTCTCGTAACAATCCTTGAGCCAAACACTCATGATTTTGTATGTTTTTGTGTTTGTATGTAATGCAAGTCAAGTTTGTTCATTTAATATATTTTTGTACTGTTCATCAAGAAGATTTTTTTTCAGGATGATTTAAAGGAGTCACAGATTTTAAAAAGGAGACAAAAAATGGAAAGTGTCCAAAAACATTGCACAGATTCTATCAGAGTTTTTTTTCCCAAAAGCTTTGTAATGTAGGCCAGTGGTATTATCCCCCTATAATTAACTGGGAGGCTGAGAGAATAGGGAATGAACTGTGTACCTATTTTTTTAACTGCAACTCTTGGAGGCTGAGAGAATAGGGAATGAACTGTGCACCTTTTTTTTTTAAAACTGCAACTCTTAAGAATTTTCCAGGCAAAATTCTGGGAGTTCTTGCACACAGAACCACGCTGACATTTCACTTGCCTGGAATACGCCTCTGTTGCTGGCTTTCTCAGGCCTACTTCCTGTACAAAAAAAGGAAACTGCCCCAGTCTTCATGGGAGGTATAGACTTGCTGACCGTTAGGCTCTATTGGAGGGCTTCTCCAAAGACCTACACTGCCAGAAAGACCTAGGCCAACCGGGAACCACTGGGGCTGTTTTCTTTTTGCGCAGGAAGTAGGTCTGAAATAGCTTGGAAGAAAGGCCTGTTCAGGTGAGCAAAACGTAGGTGTGGGCAGGAAGTCTTAGAATTCTTTATTCAATTTTGGGAGTTGCATGGGGGGGAGGGACACCCCTGTAGGGAATACCCTAAGACTGATTAGTAACCTAGACATGATGGGGCTTCCTGGCTGGTAGTCCAGTTGTGAGTTACAAATACACGGCATGAGCCAAAGCCGAAAGCCTACATATTCATAAAGATGAGGAATGGGACAAAGTTCTGCCTCCCAGATGTTGGACTGTAAATTCCCACTGGCCCCAGCCAGCCTTACCATTGATGAGGGATGCAATGAGTTGCTATTCAGCTACCTCTGGATGAGTTCTGATTTATCCATCCCTGATAGAAATACACTGCCATTCCATTTGAGTGAATAACCTCTTTTTTGTTGTTGTTCTGCAGGATGAACCTCCACGAGGGTCAACATCACTGGTGGAAGTGGGGCCAGATGAAACAGGTCGGCTGGCATTAGAAATTTGGGTTTTGAAACAGACGGGGAAAGCTAGCCCTTCGGCATGATGTGTGTCTACCTCTCTTTTTTTCTCCAGGTGGAGCACCCGCCAGAGATGTGGGTCCTGATCCTGCTTCAGGATCTTTGTCTCCCCGGAAGCCCAAAAGCACCCAGGGAGGAGCGGGAGAGAGCCTTTTGGGCTCTGGTCGAAATGGAGAGGATGGAGGAAGGGTGCAGATGATGGGAAGTGGCAAAGAAATGGGAGGCGTGTCTCCAGAAGCAGGGGGGATCTCGGCCGGATCCAACACCAGCCCAAGCCCAGGGGGTAAAGGTCTGCCAGGTGAGGAAGACGGGTAAGAGGGATTTGACTCAGTGGAAGGGGGAAAACATGGTCCAGAGCCTGCCTCGTTCTAATAGGCTTTCATTCCCTGCATGGGCCTACCTCCTCACCACTGTAATGGCCACCTCTTCACATGACCTCTCCTCTGGCCCCAGTGTTTGCTCAAGGGAGTGGTCAAGACTCATGTTAGCGATGACAACAACAAAGTTCTCTTTAATAACTAACTGAGAACGTGGGTCCCTCAAGATTGGAATTGTCAGCAGAGACCAACTGTGACTTTCCAGAGTTTCATGCCAGAATCTACTGCTCTTTCTCTCTCTCACCCTGACAGCCATGCTTGGCCTGTCCCTACCATTAAGCAGAGTGAGGCAGCCGCCTGAGGCAGCCGATCGAGTGGTGGTGAAAGGGAGCAGCAGATGATTGGCCATTTAAAGTTATTGTCCTTGTGTTTCATTCAGATCATCGTTTTCGGATGCCACTTGTTCTTATTTTATTAATGTTTTAATTCTTGTGTAGGTACTATTTAGTATGGCATGTTTTTGTCGATTGTTGTAAATTGCTCACAATTGTGCTTCGTGCTACTGGAATAGTAAATACAAATCAGATAAATTAATTGTCTTGCCAGGGATGAGGAGGAGTACAATACACCTTGATCTGTGAGGGGTTTGAGTTTGAAGCATCTTAACTTGGGGGAGCCATTTCCTGCTCTGTTTCTAGAAGCAGAGTACTGTATCTTGGTTGGGCCCCAGAACAGAAAAATGAGTTGCAAAAGCTAGAAAGGAAAGGAATAGAGCTGCGGACCATAGCAGGTTCTGATGCCAGTCCAATGTTGACCTTCGTATTTTGGTATAGATTTTCCATATGCCCTGTAGAACTGATGCGGTTCTATTTATGCTCATGTGAACTAGAAGGTTCTGGGATTCCAAAAAAGGTAACTTTTCTAAGCCCTGATGTGGATACACTCTGGGGGGGGGGGAAACAAACCCCACTAATGAGGGCAGACATGTCTAATGATCATCCTGTTCTTCTGCCTCAGGCCATGCCGCCAAGACTTTTCCATCATCCCCCAGCAAAGCAGGCGGGCCCAGCCGGGCCAAGATGTCCCTCACAGGAACCAGCAAGTCTCCGACATCTATCCAAAGTTTGGCAATGCGGCTGCTGAGTATGCCCGGATCACGCCTTCCTGGGGAAACTGGAACGCCCGGGGCAGAAACTCCAGCCCCGGCCCCAATCCTGGCCCCCGCACAGCCTCCGGTGCAAGCGGTGGAAGAAGCTAAGCCCAAGGTTCATCGGGCTCGGAAGACCATGTCGAAACCTCCCAGTGCTCAGGTTAGAACTTCAAAAGGCAGCTTCTATCTTGGAGCTGATACACTGCAAACCTTTGGCCACTGGCAGTGGATATGTCTCTGTGGAGGCATTATCCAGATACAGTGGTGCCTCACTTTACGATTGCACCTCATTATGATGAATCCGCTTTACGACGATCTTTTTGCGATCGCAATTGTGATCGCAAAACGATGGTCTAAATGGGGGAATTTCGCTTTGCGATGATTTGTTTCCTGTTTTGGGAACTGATTCTTTGCAAAACGATGATTTTTAAACAGCTGATCGGCGGTTTCAAAATGGCCACTAGGTAACTAAAATGACTCCCCGCTGTGTTTAGGGACGGATTCCTCGCTATACAGGCAGCGAAAATGGCTGCCATATGGAGGATCTTTGCTGGACGATGAGTTTTAAGCCCATTGGAACGCATTGAAAGGTTTTCAATGCGTTTCAATTGGCTTTTTATTTTCGCTTTACGATGTTTTCGCTTAACAGTGATTTTCCTGGAATGGATTATCGCCGTTAAGTGAGGCACCGCTGTAGTGGGAAAGTTCCTTGTCCAAACACACCCTGCTAACATGAGCAATGTTGGGGGGTGGAATGGAATTCTGAGATTTTTTTTATCACAAAATGAAACTTGCTTGATCTCTGCCATTTGTCTATTTAATGGTGCTTGATCTCTGCCATTTGTCTATTTAATGGGCTTAGAAAAAAGAGGCACCACCGGTGAGAAACGGTAGCAGGTTAGATGGTTGTGGACAGTAAGGGTATGCAGATTTTTGGTTTTGGACTATAGCTCCTAGGATAATTGTGGTCCAAGAACAAAAATCTGCACACTTTGCAGTTTATGAATATTTGGATTCTCATCTGCCTGATAGCAGCCTTCAAATGTCTCATGTGATGAAACTGTTTGATCAAGAAGCAGGCAGCTCTGGAAAGTTCTGGTTGCTTCATCTTTTAAGCAACAGGACTCGTTTAATATCCTTACGTTCCCTGTTGGCAGAACAAAATCAGTCTTGCCAATTTTTTTCCCTCTTGCAAACGGCTGTGGAATTCTGCTGTATGAAAACCATGTGTTTTGCGTGACCACATCTTTTTGGATTGTATTCTTGGGGTGATATAGAAGTTCTATTCAGCTTGCAGACAGTTTGCACTATACACTGTTTTGTATACAAGCTTGTCTCAGAAAAGGTACCTTGCAAGTTCCAGTTAGACCAACCTGATTTAAATCTGCCCCCTTCTTTCAGTCATGTGCTGCCCTTTTAAGCATCTGCTGTCATTTAAATGGTCTTGCTTAGATCAATCAAACCTGAACAGCATAAAGAAGACATCAACATAATAATCATGTGCTGTCAAGTCAATTCTGACTTGCAGGGACCCTTTTCAGGGTTTTCCAGGTAGAAAAATCTCATATGTAGTTACGCATCCCCTTCTTCTGGGGGCACCCTGAGACTGTGCAGCTTGCCCAAGGCCGCACAGGTTAGCTGTACTTAAAGGAGGCACAGTGGGGAATTGAACTCCCAACCCCTGGCCCTTCACCCGGATACCTAAACCACTGAGCTATCCAGCCAGCTTTTCATTACAAGTAGAGCATGGACATTCACGTTAGATTACAGCTCCTCAAAGCCCCTACTCAGTATGGCCGGGCGGTGTGGTAAGATAGCTTTGTTTATTTCATTATTTCTACGCCATACTTCATAAGAATTCCAGGACAGGTAACAATGTCGTTATTGTTAGAGAATACTCAGAAGTGGTTTGCCGTTCTCTTCTCCTGGGGGTGCCCTGGGACTGTGCATCTTGCCCAAGGCCACCCAGGCTAGCTTTTGCCTCAGGAGGCACAGCGAGGAATCAAACTTCTGACCTTTGGCTCTGCAACCTATACTACTGAGCTCTCCAGTTGGCTAAAAAAAGACATAATCTGAGACTTGGATATAAGTGTCCTTCCTTTCCTCTCATCCCAAGGTCCCTGAAAAGCGAGTCTCAGAGATGCTGCATTTTCGAGTCCCAGATGACCTGAGGGCCATTGAAGAGCCAGGTATGACTTGGTGGGAGGACATCTGTTGGGCATGCCTGAGCTTTGTGATTCTGAGGTCAAAACTGCAGGATAGAACGAGAACCGGGGGGTCGGTGAGCTTTAGGGCCCACTTATTGCACCCCTAGAAGATTCCCTTAGAGAAAACTCGGAAGTAGCTGGAAGTCCACTTCTGGTTTTGTCACAACGTTCATAACAACGTTTTAATGTAGTTTTTGGATTAAAATAAAGTGTAGGAGGAGTGCCTTGTCGCCTTGTTAAGGTGTATTACTGCTCTTCAAGGCCTTTTTTTCACCTGGGGGTGCAAATTGCTGAGCAACAAGGGGGGGCACAGAAATGGACAGGGGTCCCAAGGGCTTGTGGGTTGCAGAATTTCTAGGCCACCCTTCTCACTTTCCCTCTTTTTCCTTCTCTTCCCAAAGAAGAACCTGCCAAACGCAGGAAATACGATTATATGGCCGATGCAATGCACAAAAGGATGCCCCTCTCACTCCAGCGGTCAAGTCCCAGGGCAACGACAGAGGTAGGCCTCCTCAAAAAATTGTTTTAACAGGATACAGATTACGTCCAGTCTGGATTCATACGCTCAGGTCATTAAATAAAATTTTAGCTTGCACAGTCACATTATCAGTTAATGCAGTTTAATCACTTAATGAATCAGCCTGAATAGATTTCCACATGAAGAAAAACAACCATTTTGAAGAAAAACAGCTCTTATTTTTGTTTTTGTTTAATGCATGGATGATGTGGCATCTAAATCAGGAGCGATAGAACCTTTGGCCTTCAAGGGTTTGGGACTGAATTTTCTTAATACCCTGGTACGGAGGTTCCCAATTTTGGATAACCTAGACATTCTTGGACTGAAACTCCCAGAAGCCTTCACCACCAGCTGTGCTGCTTGGGGTTGCAGTCCGAGATCATCTGGGTTACTCAAGGTTTGGAACCCTGTCGTTTGTTTCATGCCAGCTGTGTTCTGATGCGAGTTCTAGGCCAAAAGGTTCCCCAGACCTGAATTAAACAATGCACAAATGTACAGTGGTGCCTCGCTTAACGGGCGCCCCGTTTAATGCAGAATCCGCATAGCGACGAATAGTTTGCAATCATTTTTACAATCGCATTGCGATGTTTCTAATGGGAAAAAATCGTTTTGCGGTGATTGGTAAGCTGTTTCGCTTACCAATTTGCGCATAACGATGATTTCCCAACAGCTGTATGGAGGATTTTCGCATAAAGATGAGTTTTTTGCCCATAGGAACGCATTAAACGGGTTTTTATGCATTCCTATGGGCTTTTTATTTTCGCATAGCGACGAATCGTATAGCGATGATTTTTGCTGCACGGATTATCGTCGCCATGCGGGGCACCACTGTAGTATTATACATAACATTTTTATCGTCGCTATGCAGGTCACCACTGTATTATTATACGTAACATTTTAAAAGAGCCATATTCTCGTTTGGGGGGGGAATAGAAAGGGAATCTCTATCCAAGCCTTACCTTTGCAGATATATATGCGGCTATTCTTTAACGGGAGCACCTGACCTTCTATTGCCATGGTTCCCCCTTTTTAAATGTTTTTGCATGGCCTGAGCTGTGTGTCTGCAGAGGAGTTCTTCCTCTGTTTGTGCTTCCTGATTTGCAGACACCAACCATCCCTGACTGGTATCTGCAAATCAAGGATTCTTGGTTTCATGGAGAACCTACATGCAAACCGGGATTTCTCCTCTCCGTGTCACTTCCTTCGTGTGGAAGGAGATAGTTGAAGCTGGGTACTCTTAAGCACTCGGGTATCCTCTGCTAGATCTCTCAGCAGGCTTCGATACCTTCGACCATGGTATCCTTCTGGGTTGTCTCCTTGGGGTGGGACTTGGAGGCACAGTGGCTCTAGTTCTTCCTGGATGAGAGAAGTCCGATGGTGATGTTGGGGGCTTCTGTTTGACACTCTGGCCATTGGTCTGAGGTGTCCGTTAGGGTCCTGTTTTGTCCCCTCTGCTAGTTAACATGCACATGAAACCACTGGGAGAGACTGTCCGGAGTTCTGCATTTTGGTTTCACCAGTATGTGGATGACACCCAACTCTGTCTCCTTGCCATCTAAATCTGAGGAAGCTGCGGATCAGTAGCGGATCAGTGTTTGGTATCAGTAAAGGCCTGGATGAGGGTGAATAGACTGAAAATTAATCTGGAACAAGACAGAAGTGCTCCTGAACAGCCAAAATGAGTAAACATCAAGGAATAGGGATCCGGACCGTGCTGGGTGGGGCTGCCCTCCCCCCTGAAATCGCAGGTGTCCTCTTGGATTTGTCTTTGATCTGGATACTATGGTTTTGGCCGTAGCCAGGAGTGCATTTGCAATTAAAACCACGTACGTCTGTTTCTGTTTAATTTATTTTTGGATATCTCTGCCAGATCGCTAAAGGAGCCCCTGTGTTGTTAGACACATTTTGCTTGGGAGGGAGGGGGAAATTCATTCATTCATTCAGTTTGTATCCCACTCCCGTTAGTGTCACAGCACTACTCCGGGTCTGTTTACAACTCATAAAATAGGAAACAAAAATAAAAAATTGAGGTATTTAAACCAAGAGCCAGAACCCTAAAAAGCCAGATGGCACCAACTAATCCCAGAGTGGATGGAGGAAAAGAGGGGAGAGAAGGAAGAGGAGGGTGGTGGTCCAGTGCGGTTCGGTTTTTAGGAGAGTGTGTGTGAGGGGGTGGTTTTTAGGGACCTGCCGGGTTTTGAGAAGTTGTTACAGCTATCGTACAGTCTTATTAGGAGGAAAAGAGAAGGCACAGTGATGTGTGTGTACAGCTTTAAGAAGAACTTGACCAGTTTTAATTTTGCTTTCCTTCTGGAGGCCTGGGTGGGGCCTCAAGCCGCTGAGTGCAGGCTTTGGCGCATGAGGCCCTCTTGCCATGTGGCTCTTCAGAAAGCAATGCTTTCTCATATAATGCCGCCGCAAGGAACGCTGTTGTGAAGTTACCAGAGTCTCTTGTGTATTGAGAGCAGAACTTGAGGTTGCAAGCGAACTGAGTGGGTAAGCTCACCCCTACTATCTCTGGTTAATAAATTAACTCCCCCAAAAGACCTTTTTGTAATTGCAGAAGCCCGTACATTTGGGTGGGATGGAAAATTTTAGCCATAAGCAAAGCAGCGTGGTCCGTTCTAGATCTTGAAAGAGTTACATCTCTCTCTCTCTCTTGGACTACAGTACCCAGAAGCCGCTGGCAGTGTGGGCAGGGAATTCTGGGAATGGTAGTCCAAAAATAATTTCTCCCAGTTCTTGCCCAGATACCAGGTCTCTACCCCCGTTGAGAAGAAACAGCAGGGTAGATCTTCCAGAAGCCAAGTCAAAAGTCACTTCAGAGATGGATCTGGTGCCCGAACAGGTTTGATCTTAGTCACCAGATCTCCCAGAAACGATCGGCTTATTTTGTAATGCTTTCAAAGCTTTTTTTTTTCCGTTTAAGGTGCAACCAGGCACAAAATGTGCAGTTCTACAAAAGGATGTTTAGTTCGAAACTCAAAAGTGATGCAAAAGTTCCATTGTGTTAGCTGACGTCAGTGGGGGGAGTAAAATGAATGGTGAGGGCTCCTCTAGAACTCCAAATTGTCATCAACTGTATCCATTTTCTTCTCTTTTACTCTTTCCATACCTTGTGGCTACTCTCTGCAGGAGCGTTCACCAGGCTTTTCAAGGTGAAGGAAATATTGCTAAAGCAGGGGGGTCCCCCTTTTCCTGTTATGTCAGCGAAGCTTGGCAGAGTTTTGATGAGAAAGCTGATGCCAGAACATATCCGGTCCTTTCTTAAAGGCTCCTGTGCTGTATTGTTTCTTTTATTTTTCTCTCTTAGCTTTTTTCTTTTTTTAAAAAAAAACCTTTACTCCCTTGGAGCATTCTCGTGGAGTGGATGTGGTCTAGCAGGACACCGCGCTTAACTGTTGTATCGCTTTGTCCGTTCCTATCTCGGAAAAAGCTCCTACAGGCATTCGTTGTCTTGCTGAGGTCTAAGTCGTGGAGCTGGTGTGATAAACATTCTCTGCGGTTGTATGTAGATTGTAGACATTGTGGTTCTCAAAGATGTTTTTTCTTTCGTTTATATGTAGTTGTGTAGCATTTATTAGTCACTGTATGACGATAAGTATCTGAGCACTACACGAATGTAATCAGAGAAGTTCAGAGTCGGAGTACAAGACAAATATATTTTTCTCTAAGCTTTCCCCTTTTGTCTTTTCTCAGTACATTTTTTTCCTAGCAGATATTTAATTTATTTGGTTATTTTTTGTTAGGTTTTTAATCTGCCTTCCTGTCTCTGTATTATTATAGTATGATTATGTAGGGAAAAAATTGAATGGTTCTATTTAATGCTACATAAATAGCTAACAATCATCGTCATGATGTGCTGTGAAGTCAATGTTGACTTATGGCAACCCTTTCTATGGTGTTCTAGGTAGAGAATACACAGAAATGGTTTCCTTTTCCCTTCTTCTAGGGGTAGTTCTGGGATCATGCAGTTTGCCCACAAGGCCACACAGGCTGGCTCTACCCACAGGAGACACAATGGGGAATCGAACTCCCAATGCTTGGCTTCACAGCCAGATACCTTAACCACTGAGCTATTCAAATAGCCTAAACACTTTCAAAAATTGTTGCTGTGTGTCATCAAGTCCCCTCTGACTTCTGGTGACCCTATGAATGAGCGATCTCCAAAATGTCCCGTCCTCTACATTAAAAATATTAATAATAGCTAAGGTTTTTATATATTGAAGGAATTTATGAGATGAAGATACTCTTGGGTTCTTTTGCCGAAAGATCCTAGAATCAAAGGATAATGGAGTTGGAAGGAGCCTGTAAAGCCAATGAACCCAACCTCCTGTTATTGGATTGATAATATTCTAATTCGGGTCACTCTCTATTATGATTGTAATTTATGTTCCTTGTAAACAGGCTTGAAGTTGTGAATTTGGGAGTTCTAGTCCCTTCTGATAGGGCTTTCTGTGCAGAGACAGGTACGGTTTGCTAAGAACTCCCTCCAGGCATTAACCACAAAAAATCCATGATGTAGGCAGAAGACTGAGAAGAATATTTCTTGAAGCTTACTCTGGTTGCCCACTTCTGCCAAGTTCTTCCTTTGCTTTCACTGAAGAGCGTCTCCAGATCCAGTGCTTGTTGGTTGGTCTACTGTTGGTTGCTTTCACTGAAGAGCGTCTCCAGATCCACTGCTTGAAACATCTGCTTGTTGGTTGGTCTACTGTTGGCCATCATGCTTCATTTTAAAAATTGAATTAGTTGACAGTCTGCAGTGTGAAAGTGATTGTGGTCTGTGATGTGACACGAAGGGCACTGTGGCGTTGTGTATCCCAGCCAATACATTCACTCATATGTCCAGCTAAATAAAGGGACACGTGTTTCCTGTATGAATTTAAAAACTAGTCACCCTTCTAAAGGGACACGTGTTTCCTGTATGAATTTAAAAACTAGTCACAGAGGCCTTGCTCTGACTCTCTCAAGGGTGGGAAATCCCTGCCTTTGACATTTTCTTCCTCAGAAGTTCTCTTGCCACTGTGCCTCTTTTCCTTTCACTGAATGAATGAAAGCCCCCACCGGCACACTCTTTATTTCTTTAGCCTTTGTCGTTTTGCGTTTTCTTGTTTGCTGGAATTTATAACTGTTATTTTTACTGGTTTAAAACTGTTATTTTATTAGGTGCTCCCGTTCTTCTGTTTCACCAGCTGCTCCCAAGAGCTCTGGTTGAAGAGTGGTCGGCTGATGCCGTAAATAAATAAATAAATAACTTTTTGTTCCTAGATCACAGTCACGGAAGAAATGACTGCTCCAGCCACGGCCTCGCAGGAGGAAAGGGGTCAGGAGTGGGAGACAGAAGTGGGGGATGACTTCAGCCTCTTTTATGACAGTTACTCTGTGGATGGCCATGCTGATTCAGACAGCAAGGTAGGTATGGAGGGCGGTGGGGAGTTTTCTTCTGATGAAGATGATTTTTGCACAGAAGGAGAGATAAGAAAGCTGCTGCTTAACTCAGTCACTTTGTTGGCTGGGTAGCTCAGTGAGTTAGGTATCTGGCTGCAGAGCCAGAGGTTAGGAGTTGGATTCCCCAATGAGCCAGGTTGGCTCTTCTCCAGGTTGGAGAAAAGCCAACCTGTGTAGCCTTGGGCAAGCTCCATAGTCCCAGGATGGCTCTAGAAAACGGGAGTACTGTCTACCTGGGGAACCCCAGAAAGGTTCACCATACTGTATGTCCAAATCGATTTGATGGCATGAGATTATTGTTACTTTATTAGTGTTTCTTTAAAACTTAGGTAATATACTGTACATGGACCAGTAGTACAGTGGTGCCTCACTTAGCGACGTTAATCCGTTCTGGAAAAAACATTGCTAAGCGATTTCATTGCTAAGAGAAATTAAAAAGCCCATAGAAACGCATTAAAACACAATTAATGCGTTCCTACGGGCTAAAAACTCACCTTTAAGCGAAGATCCTCCATAGGGGTGGCCACTTTCGGTGCCTCTTAAGCGAAGAAACACAGCGGGCGGTCATTTTGTTTACCTGGCGGCCATTTTGAAACCGCCAATCAGCTGTGCGAAAATGGGCGCTTTGTGATGATCGTTTTCCCACAATCATTGCAAAGCAAAAAAACCCCATAGGGACATTGCAAAGCAATCGCAAAAACCCTGTCGCTAAGCGATTTCATCGCTCAGTGGAGCGATCGCTAAGCGAGGCACCACTGTACTTTGAAGTCTTAAATCTTTAGGCTTGATGGCGTTCCTGTGCAGCTGCCAGCACCCAGTAGTGTTTCCTTGGGCTGAAAACTGCCATTTTCCATTGTAAACAGTGAATGGGCTCCCCTGCCTTCTGATGCCTTGACCTTTGTAGGAGCTTCCTGATCCCTACTGTTCTATCCACCGCCCCCTCTCAGCATAGTTTGCTGCCTTTTTAATTTTTTTCCTTTATTATAGTCAGATGCAGATGTTGCTGGAGAACATATGAGTGAAGAAGAGGAGGAGGAAGAAGAGGAGGAGGAAGAGGAAGAAGAAGAGGAGGAAGAAGAGGAAGAAGAAGAGGAGGAGGAAGAGGAAGATGAGGACGAGGAATCGGGCAACCTCTCTGATAGGGTGAGTTGCAGCTTATTAAAAAATAGAGAATTACTCAATTGGTGAGGGATGGGGTTTTTCTATAGAGGCTGCTTAATTATGTAACAACTTGCCTTGTTTAAAGATTTATTTATTTTTAAAATATTGTTCCAAGTAAACTTTCCTGAATTTGATAAGGTGTGTCCCCCTTTCCAGCAACCTCATGCTTGGCTCGTATGCTGAATATGTCCTACTTTTATTCTACAAGTGTCATATGTTGGAATACAAAGGGGAAAACATAATTCCAAATAGGTTTGAGTCCCCTAACACAACATCCCCCAATGGTTCCCAACCTTGGGATAACCCAGGTGCTCTTGCACTACAATTCCCAGAAATCCTGGCCGGCACAGCTGGTGGTGAAGGCTTCTGGGAATTGCAGTCTGAGAACACCTGGTTTACCTAAGGTTGGGAACCACTACTAACAGATTCTGCAGCTTCCAGAGTCACCCAGCCAGGAGGTCTAGTAGTCATGTTTGACTGGAGAGGTTCTGGATGCTTGAGTCCAAAAAATGAACTTTTCCCAAATTCTGGCTAGCACTGATAATTTCGGTAGCTGAAGATGGCAGGGACTGGATCTAGTTTTTGCTGCATTCCACGAGATATATTCTCTTTTCCCTAAACTAGAGCTTGTTTTAACAGTGTTGACAGAATACCCGGTTATACTGTTTGTTGTGCTGATGGACTTCCTGTTTCATTTCTTCATATTAGGACTTTTTAAAGAAACAAGGGTAGAACTTGAAAAAAATATTGTAAAAAAAACACACACCTTAAAATACACTTTAAAAGTCACGTTTGAAAGTTAGTATTATCCAGTTACTTCTGGAATGCAGTTCTGTTGTCATTATGGAAAAATAACAGTTAACTGCATTGCTTGTAACTCATTATTTCCAAGCTGTTTCCTGAGTTGCCGCCCTGCCGAAGCATGTGCTGCTGTTCTCGTATTACCTTTTCATATTCTGTTTCCCAGAGCGCTACCTCCAGCTCGAAGCGGAAGGCCCGGAAGCGCTGGCGGAATGACAGCCCGTGGGTCAAACCATCCCGGAAACGGAAGCGCAAAGAGCCCCACCCTAAGGATGCCAGAGGTAATGATCCCTTTGAAGGGCTCTGGCACCGGAGCTTATGGAGGTGGGAACGGGGGAAGGTCTCTTCTTTTGGAAGAGGGGAGCCACGAAAAGTGGGTAGCGCTGCCTTTAGAACTAGACTCGAAAGATTACAAGAGGTATGTCGGGCCAGGTATTAACGCAAAAGGGAATAATTAAGAATGAAAGAGAATCGTAGAATAATGAAGTTGGAAGGGGCCTAGAAAGCCATCGGGTCCAACCTCCTGCTCAAGGCAGGAATCCAAGGCAGATCTGACAGAAGATTGTCCAATTTTCTCTTGAATGCCTCCAGCATTAGAGAGCTCACCAGCTCCTAAGGTCATTGATTCCATTGTCGTACTGCTCTAACAGTTAAGAAGTTTTTCCTGCTATTCGACCTGAATCTGGCTTCCTGTAACTTGAGCCCATTATCCTGCACTCTGGGGTGATCGAGAGCAGATCTCGCCCCTCCTCTGAATGACAGCCTTTCAAAAATTTGAAAAGTGCTGTAGTCTTTTTTTTTTTTCTCAAGGCTAAACATGCCCTCTGGCTTCCTGTAACTTGAGCCCATTATCCTGCACTCTGGGGTGATCGAGAGCAGATCTCGCCCCTCCTCTGAATGACAGCCTTTCAAAAATTTGAAAAGTGCTGTAGTCTTTTTTTTTTTCTCAAGGCTAAACATGCCCAGTTCTTTCAGTCTTTCCTCGTAGGGCTTGGCTTCCAAGGAAACAACCCCAAGTAAATGATTTCGATTGTTGAGGACATGTGTGCAATACAATACAGTGTATGATGTCCTTCCAGGATTGTTAGGGAATCAGTCGGTACTGAAATGATATGGGTGAGTCAATGAGTTTGAAGATATCACCAGAACTGTACAGAAGAACAGCGCTAAACTGGCTGAAGAGCCAGCCGAGTGGTGGATGAGAATTGCATGCAAAGGGACTTGGCTCTCTGCCAATGTTGGTTTCCTTCCCACCCACCCTCTTCCTCTGCCCATCCTCTTGTTCTTTTTCTTCTTCTCCAGGACTGAACGGCGGCCCTTCAACCACACAGAGTGTCCAAAATGGAGCTTGTAATCTTGAGAGCTCGGCTCGAAGCCGTGGGTTGCAGGTTTCACCTCCGGAAATACAGATTCTTGTTTATTTTATTTATTCATTTATTGAGCTTATATGCCGTCCATTTAGACATAGTCTACTCTGGGTGGCTCACAAAAACGTAATAAAAAGAATTACAATGGTGCCTCGCTTAACGAGGAAATCGCTTAATGATTAGGTTTTTGTGATTGCAAAAGCGATTGCAAAATGATGTTTTAAATGGGAAAAATCTGCTTCATGCTGATCGGTTCCCTGCCTCGGGAACCGATTTTCACATTACGGCAAACCAAAACAGCTGATCGTCGGGTTTCAAAATGGCCGCTGGGTGTACAAAATAGCCCCCCGCTGTTTTCACGTGGGAGGCAGGGAAAGTGCAAAATTTGAACTTTCAGTTAACTGTTGGCCAGTGAAAAGGGTGCCTGTCTGCTCCCTCACTCCTCCCAGCGTTTAGAGAGTGGATTGGGCGACAGTCTTCGGACTGCCTGGTACTGTACTGCCTGGACTGTATTTTCCCTGCCTTCCCTGAACCTTTCTTGACCTAAGAAAAAAAGAAACAAAATATCCCCCCTCTAGTGGTCGAAGGCGGAATAGCAGCTTCCCATTAGTTTCTATGGACGGAAAAGAGCAGATACGGATCAAATGGTTTTCAATGCATTCCTATGGGAAATGCAGATTTGGCCTGAGAACTTTTTGACTTGAGAACCGCCTTTCAATACGGATTAAGTTCTCAAGTCAAGACCGCACTGTATAGTCCAAAACATCTGGTGTGCCAAAGGTTCTCCACCCACCCTTGGCTCAGCCGTGGCCCAGTTGGAAGAGCCTATGACCTGGAGTATGTAGCTGAATATACATAGAGCTTACCCAGTTCCCACTGTCCTTCCTTCCTTCCTTCCTCCCTCCCTCCCTCCCTCCCCTTTACAGGGGTGTCTAATGAGACAAGTTCACTGGAGACAGAGCGCTTTGAAGAACTGCCCCTCTGCTCCTGCCGCATGGAAGCGCCGACGATAGAGCGCCTCAGCCAGCAGGCGGGGAATCAGTGCATGGCCACAGAGAGTGCTGACGGGGAGGTAAGATTTGGGGGTTGGGGGAGCAGGTTTGGGAGGAAGCAGAGACTGAAGCGTCTTTTGCTTAAGGTGCTTTAGATATTTCAGTTGTGTCTCACAGTCACAGAGGTCCTTTTCAGGTCCTCTGCTGAGTATAAACAAGGACTTTATTTATTTACTTACTTATTGGCTTGCTACATTTATATCCCGCCTTTCCACGAAATGATAATGCTCAAGGTGACCTGCAAATGATGTAAAAGAATAAAAATAGATAAAACCACGTTTAGCTAAAAATCATAAGATAATATCGTCATTATTCTTGTGGCTGTTCTTACCGTTATTAAAGACATTACAATGATCACGTGCTGTCAAGGCAGTTCTGACATGGCAGCCCTTTTTAGGGCGTTCCAGGTAGAGAGTACTCAGAAGTTATTTACCCTTCCCTTCTTCTGGGCGTAGCCCTGGGATTGTACAGCTTGCCCAAGGCCACACAGGCTGGTTCTGCTCATAAGAGACACAGTGGAAAATCAAAACTTCCAGACTTTGGCACCATAGCCAGACCTAAAGCACTGTGCTATCCAGCCAACTCAAGGGTCAAATACATTGTGGGAGAAGCTCAGCGTACCAGGAGGAGGGCTAGAAAACCACGTTTTTCACTCTGTACTTGCATCTATGCATTCACCATCTGGAAGACTCAAGTAGAGATCTCAGATTTTCAAAAGGTATCAGAATCGAGAAGCAGAATTGCAGCATCCTTGAATAATGGCGGTAATAAAAAGATGGCAAGAAAAGATAAAAGCACAGTCTCTACCTTTAATTTATTTTTTTGGGGGGAAAGGTAGCATAGAAACAAGCTGTCAGCTCTCGCTTGTTTTATGGCTGCAATTCAAATATTAGGAGCCTTGTGGCACAGTTCAACTGCAGTACTGCAGTCATGCCTCTGCTCATGATCTGAATTCAGTCCCCCCTGGCTCAAGGTTCACTCAACCTTCCATCTTTCCAAGGTTGGTAAATTGATTACCCAGCTTGCGAGGGTGGTGGGGAATGTGTAGCTTATATAATTGAATTGTAAACAGCTCTGTGAGTGCTTTAGCACTAAGGGTCAGTACCTTAACAGCACCTTTTGCATTGTTTTGCTTTCTATAATGATAAAATAATTGCACTGGATGCTCTCCGTGATGTAACTGGCTGAAAGCCAAGCCTCGGTGCTTCTTGGAGGTATACAAGGACTTCCATCAGAATCTGGCCTTTGGGGCTCATTTAAAAGGGGGCAAAACGCCTGTGGGGCAGAATCATTTGTAGATGCGGAAGACCATTTAAACATCCCAGTCCCCTCCTGACGTTAGAAATTATACAAACCCGATGCAGTCTCAGTGAAGGCCAGGGAATAAGCAAGAGAGAAATACCATCTTCCTGTCTGTGCTTTATAGCTGAACGGCTGCAGTAGCAGCATCCTCAAGCGGGAGACGATGCGTCCCTCCAGCCGGGTTCCGCTCATGGTCCTGTGTGAAGCCCACCGAGCCAGGATGGTGAAGCATCACTGCTGCCCCGGATGTGGCTACTTCTGCACTGCGGTGAGGGGAAGGGGACCCTGGAGGGTGTGCTGGTTGGATAGATGGAGAAGACCCTCTATCTGCAGAACTTGTCAAATGCCTGGGAAGGAAGGGAATTAGGCTGGGGGGATCCGTACATGTCCCAGAACCCAGAGTTGGACCATGTTGTGTCATGCATGCTTGTTTCTTTAAAATAGTCACACACTCTGCCTTTCTCCTTAAATGGACCCTTAACATCATTAGACAATATTTAAAAGCTAGGGAAAAATGGCTATGCAAATAGTTAAAAAAAGAATTAAGTATTATATGGTGATATTTAAAAAGTCACTAAAAACCTGGCTGTTCAGGCGAGCATTTGAAATCATCATACCTGCAAACTCAGCTGAATCTAATTAGGCTATTAGGATATAAGTAATATCCACTCTTCTTATATGGTTTAAATGCTTTGAATGCTTTTAAATACAGTGGTGCCCCGCATAGCAAGGTTAATCCGTTCCGGATTAACCTTTACTATGTGAAAACTTCGCTAAACGGAATGGAGAAGCCCATTGGGAAGTTCCAAATGGGCACAAAACTCACCGTTTAGCTAAGTTTCCAGGGTCCGGCAGCCATTTTCGCGCCCTCGGTAAGTGAGGGGAGGGTGCGAAAACGCTGCGCGCGGCCATTTTGGGCGTCCGGCAGCAATTTTGAAACCGCCGAACAGCTGATCTGCGGGCGTCGCAAAGCGAAGATCAGCAAGGGAAATGCTTACCGATCTTCGCTATGCGAGTTTTGCCCATTGGGGCCGACGCTATGCGGGATCGCTATGCGGATTTGTCGTTATACAGTGCGCTCGTTAAGCGAGGCACCACTGTATTTCATTTTGATGTATTTTTATGCTTTGAGTTTATTGCTTATTTCTGTTTTATTATTTCCATTTTTTGTTATGTTAAACTGTACTTGGTGGTATATGTTGTTAACCGCCTAGTGTGGCCTCGGCCAGATGGGTGGTATAAAAATTAAATAAATAAACTAAAAATGACCAAAAAAAAAGAGATGCTAAAAACAGACTTAAAACCAATGGAGCACAACAGTCTAATTTGAAAGATGCATTGGCGAGTGCAGGATCGCAGATTAGCCCTCACTTTAGATGGAGAGGAGCAGTGGCCTCAGGTGACCGGTGACTAAATGTTGGCCGCGAGAAAGGCCACACAGCTTGCTCTGCACCTCTTAAACCAGCCTCCTCCTTCCAAATGTTGTGGGAAAGGCTTCCCCATTCATGAGTCTTGAGAAAAGAATCACCCGCCGGTTCATCTGGCTTTTATGCATGAAACGGGACATGGGCCCACACCATTTGTTTCTTTTCTTCAGACCACAAAATAATCTTGGGTTCCATGGGGGTTCTGTCCGGACGTGTACCAAGAAGGAAGGTTTGCCCTGTTCCCTGGGCAAGAACTAAAGGTTTAGTTTAGAATAACTGGTGCAAAGTTACATCCATTCAGAGGATTTTTTCCTGGCTGTCAGTAGTAGAAGATCTGAGTGGCCCCATTTCTGGGAGGCCTAGACCCATCAGTTTTCTTTCCTCAGGCCCTTCGCATCCATGGTTTGGTCTGTTTTTCTCCTCGGCAGGGCACCTTTCTGGAGTGCCACCCTGACTTCCGTGTGGCTCACCGTTTCCACAAGGCCTGCGTTTCCCAGCTCAACGGCATGATCTTCTGCCCGCACTGTGGAGAAGATGCTTCCGAGGCCCAAGAAATCACGATAGCCAAGGCAGACACCTCCACACCTGTCCCCATTCCACCTTCTCACGGGCAGAGCGCCTCGGAGGGCACAGGCCGTGCGGATACCACCCAGCCCAGGTGAGAAGGGAGGTGGCAGAGGGAGGGGCCTGTACTCCAGATTTCCACCTACGGGGCCCTCTAGGGCAAGGGTGTTTTTTTCCTCCACACTACAGATGTTTTGAACTACAACATCCAGAGGACCTTCTCTCATGGGCAGTGAAGGTGGGGATTCTGCAAGTTGTCCTCCAAAAATCTGGCAGGCCAAATGTTTGCAATCCCTGCCGTCAGGCGGGCTACCAGAATGTGCCCCCTCCATCTTGGTGCAGCCCTGAATCCTTCATTATTTTGGCAGGAAAGGAAACTAAATTACAACCTATGAGGTCCTGAGGTAAGATGAGCCCTAGACTGTTGCTGTGACCAGAGCACAGAGTCCTGACTCCTGTCCTCTGAAGATGCCGGCCACAGAGACTGGCAAAACGTTAGGAAGAACAACCTTTAGAACAAGGCCAAAGAGCCTGAAAAACCCACAGCTGTCAAATCTACAGGTCAATGCATTCCAAGGGGGGGGGGAATTCACCAAAAGTTAACGAAGACTCAGAACAAAGCCAAATTACCGTAAAGTTTGCAAAGGTTTTACAAGGTGCACTAACGATTCCAAGCAGTTTTTGAACATTTTAAGACACTTTAAAAATAGCGAAAACGGACCTGTCAAAACCATTGAAATGCATTGAAACCTATTCAGTGCATTCCAACGGGGGAACTGTGTTTTGCTTAGCGATGTTTCCTATGGCGATTTTCGCTTAAGGACGGTAATTGGAACGGAATTATCCAGTTTTAAATGCATCTCTATGGGAAATGGTGTTTCGCTTAGCGATGTTTTCCCATAGTGATTTTTTTGGGAACCAATTAAAATCGTTAAGCGAGGCACCACTGTACAACAATCTATGTTTATTCAAATACAGTCGTGTTCATCTTCTGGTTACTGTACAAGGGTGGAGGGTGGGCTTTCACTTAACTTTATTTTATTTTGGGGGCAGGGTTTATATTATAAGCATACTGAAAAATCATACTAGGGCTTATTTTCAGGTTAGGTCTTATTTTCAGGGAAATGGTACTAAAATGTTTGCGAAATGTGAGGGGGTGTACTCCTGTGATATACTATACGTTTGTGTGTTTTCTCTCTCTCCCTCTCTCTCTTATTTTATTTATTCATTTGTTTTAAACTTTACCACACCCACCTAATGGCCAAACCACTACTCTTAGTGGCTTACGTCACGCCCTCGACATACATAGAATTCAATAATAAGCAGCAAATAAAAGAAACCAATCCCATACTAACTTTGGATACAGGATAACAACTGATGGCAGCAGAGGAGAGATGTAACAGTAAATAAAATCTGTATAAATGTATATCTCTCTATATTTGTATCATATATGTTTATATCCGCCTGCTATCCAACCAGGCAAACGTTCAGAGTTCTTCTGATTTCAGTTTGGATTCACAGATAGCCTCTTGCGTGCTTGATCCTTAAGGGAGTCCCTGTTGTGAGCGTGTTTTCTAGCCCTGGTGTTTTTCCCTTTCAGTGCCCGGATGCGTGGAGGTTCTGGAGTCGAACACCTGCCAGATGATTCAGCCAGCCTGGGCCCGGGGATCGACAGCGCAGGGCCCCGACTGACCCTTCCTAACGGGGCTGTGCTGTCCGCACAGGGCCTGCCGCCAGGGGCCGGGCGGGAACAACTGGAGCGGGCCCTCGTGGTGCAGGAATCTGAGCGGTAAGTGAAGGCAGGGGCTTGCCCCATTCTCTCTCTCTCTCTCTCTCTGCTTTCATGGAAGCAAGACTACCTACAACAATTTTTATTATTTCAGCCATCATTTTTATTTGGCTTTATAGCAGGCGGAGAGCTCTTTTTTACAAGTGCCTGTGGAAGGGTGCTGAATAAATAAGGTGTGGCTGTTGTCCTTCTAAGCCTGTGAAATGTCCTTTTTGGCTTGTCTTTTTCCTTTTGCCAGTTCTGCTTTTTCTGGATTTCTATTTTCCTGACTGGAGAGAGAACTGTCTTTTTCCCATAGTGAGGAAGAGGATTCGTTCTGAGCTGACGGATGGGGCCCGTCTTCCTTGCTCCTGAGTAGCTAAACAAAGCAGAGCCTCCACAGTTCACTGAAGAGGAGGGTGGCTACTGTTCTTTCGGGGAGAAAGGGAGGATAGAAATATTTGAAATAAATAATAAGAGGCAGGTTCTTGTCCCAATCCCAGCTCTGACAGGAACACCACGCAAGACTCGTGTTGCTTCAGTGTGCTGCTCACCTCAATTCTTATTTCATTCTGTCCCTTTTCCATCTCTTTTAAAAAATGCATTTCATTTTGCTTTCTCTCTGTCTGTTTGATAAGCTGCGATCTCAACCAAACCCAGACTGTGTCAGAGGTGGGAGGAAATTATCCTAGCCTTAGGCGGTCCGTCTGTCGTGGTCCTCTGGCTTAGTCGACATGGGCCGGGCCAGGAGAACAGCAGATGATGATTGACCGGGACCTTGCTTGAGAGAGAACTGCTTTTCTGGCATTGAGTCTCCTTAAAGCCGTCACCACTAACTGTTCTGGCCAGGATTTCAGGGTTACCCAAGGTGGGGGAAGCACTGCCATAGAGAGTCTTTTGCCTACCCACGTTAAAAGGGTACTGTGGGGGCTTTTCAGGTTTGGCAGTCGAGAGGTGACCTGTTATTAAAAGATTCCGCTTCTTCCCCAGTGATGGAGGAACAGAGCCTGCATCGTGAACTTATCACAATGCCTCAACAGGCATGGCTGTTTCTGCTGGATAGCCTAGTGGTTTAGGTATCTGGCTGCAGGGCCAGAGGTTGGGGTTCGATTCCCCCCCCCAGGCCTCCTTGATGAGGACTGGACTTGATGATCCATAGGGTTTCTTCCAGCTTTGTAGTTCTAAGATGAGGATGAGGATGATTCTAGTGGAACTCACATTCCAGATACTCTTAGCGTGGGTCCTTGTTGTGTTCAAACTGCCAGTTTCTCTGGGAACCTCCCTCCCCCTGGTCTCTTCCCCAATCCTCTTATCTTGGTGGGGCCTTTGACCCTCGCTTGGCTTCCCCTGACCCCAACTGCCATTTTGGGTCCAGTGGAAAAGAGCCGGGCTCTGCCATGTCGATGGATGTAAAACTCTGTAAGGAGTCTCGAGGCCAGAAAGGCATTGGCTCTCCTAGCTCAGCCCAGTTTGACGAGGGCAGAGGCTAGATTCTCCTCTGAGGACCATGAATCTTCTGATTTGACATAGAAGACTTTGTACTTTCGCTTAACAAAAGCCATGGAAGTTTTGGAACTTAGTCGTACTGACTTCGACCAAGCTTAACGTCATTGTTCAGAGGAAGGCATTTAAAAGAACTGTTATGTCTACAACAGACATACCTTTCATAGCCAATTCATGAATGTAATAAAACAAGAATGGGCTAACCCTGCCATGTTCGAATCTATCCAAGCCCATGTTAAAAAAAAATTATAGCCCTTTTCAATCCATGCTTAGAATCATAGAATAACTGAGTTGGAAAGGACCTAGAAGGCCATTTAGTTGAACCCCCGCCACTGAGTTGGAAAGGACCTAGAAGGCCATTGAGTCGAACCCCCATGTACAAGGCAAGAATCTAAATCAAAGCAGATCTGACAGAGGGTGGTCCAATTTTGTCTTGAAAATCCAGTGTTGGAGTGCTCACCACCCTTGAGGTAATGGGTTCCATTGTCATACTACTCTAACAGTTAAGACAGTTGGGTTAAAAGTAGGAGTACGGGTAATTCTCGTTGATGCTCTTATGGCTTTCGTGGTTTCTTCTACGCATGTTCATTTGTTTCTGTTTGGACTCTAAATCCCCAAATGCTCCTTCTGGGAGATCCTAAACTGGGCTCACCTGAAAGAAGGCTGCTCCAGAAGGCCTCACAGGCCAGTATATAGGCCCAAGGTGGGCCTCGTTTGCTGTTGGAGAAGGAAGCTGTCCTCCACAAGGGGGTTGCTGGGCAGCTTCCTATCTCTTCAGATTCTTCTCCTCCTCTTGAGAAAGCCCTGAAAAGTTCTCCTTCCTTGTTTAGTTCATACCGACCAGAAGCGAGAAGGAAGGGTACAGTGAAGCCACTGTTCAGGGTGTCCTCTTCTCACTACAGAAAATGGAAGTATCCGCTAAATCCAACATATCTTTCTTCTGCTCTCTCTCTCCATCTTATCCTCTTTCTCTCTCTCTCTCTGGCAGGCGGAAGAAGCTGCGATTCCACCCCCGCCAGCTGTATCTCTCCGTTAAGCAAGGGGAGCTCCAGAAAGTGGTGCTCATGTTGTGTAAGTTGCTTCTGGAGGGAATTTGGTTGGAGAAGGGCGACCGTCAGTGTATTTCTGACAACCGCCTTACGGAAGGCACCATCTAAACTTCCTGGTGTCCTTGGACTGCAATTTCCAGAAGCCCTCACTACCAGCTGTGCTGGCTGGGGTTTCTGGGAGTTACAGTCCAAGAATACTTGGAATTACCCATGGTTAGGAACGACTGGTCTAAAACATCTCAAGTTGGAGGAGATGGCCTTGAATGTAAATGGATAGCCACCTCAACAGTCCCACTGGTTAGAAATTTGTGGACTAGAAACCCCAACCAAAAACAGCCCCCAAACCTGGGTTTTGGGCCACTATGCAAAAGTATGTACTGCGTCCATGACAACATGTGTCGTAGGTAACCCATAAAAAGCAACAGTGTCAAATCCCTGGCAAATATGGTGGCTAGTTATGTTCCGGGGAAATTTTACAAGGTGATTTTTTAAAAAAATTTGCAGCATGCAGTAAGCATGTGAAAATATGCATCTGAAAAAGGGCAAGGAAGCTAAAATGTTTTCTAGTAGGAATAGCCTGCAAAAAGTTCCAGGAGGAGAAATTGCCCCCCCAACACACACACACCTCATACCTGCCAGGGTTCTCCCCTTTGGGAGATACTCCTGTCCAGATAGATAGAGATGTTGGTGACTCAGAGGGGCAAACTTGTTTTCACTTCCTTTCATGTCTGTTTAGAAAACCATTCCATTTCACCAATTGTTTTTTGCTCTCCGGGCTGCCGCCCCTCCTTTCCAGTGGACAGCTTGGACCCAAACTTCCAGAGCGAACAGCAAAGCAAACGGTTCCCACTTCATGCTGCAGCACAGAAGGGCTACTTGGAAATCTGTCATGTTTTGCTGCAGGTGGGTTGTTGTGTATATCTGGCTTTCCACTGCCTCCTGCCTCTGGCACCATCTTTTTTGCCCTGACCTTTGTTTTAAATAATACTTACTGGTTTTTCCTCCAGTGAGCTCAATTCAGAGTACATGACTCTCCCCCGCATCTTATCCTCACAAGAATCCTGTGAAGGAGGTGAAGCGGAGACAGAGGGACTGGTAAGGTCCCTGATTCAATATTGACTAGAACCCTGATTTCTCGGAACTCAGCTGAACACTCTTAATGATAATCTTAGAACTGCAAAGCTGGAAGGGACCCTATAGATTGAGGCCCGGCCTCTATTAAAGAGGCACAATGGGGAATTGAACTCCCAACCTTCTGGCTCTGTATCCAGATACCTAAAACAAGAAGAGGAGACAAAAACATTGTGCCTTAGCTCAGTGGTTTAGGCACCCAGCTGTGGAGCCAAAGGCTGGGAGTTTGATTCCCCGCTGTGCTTCATGGGTGAGGAACCAGCCCGTGTAGCCTCAGGCAAGCTGCACAGCCCTAGGGCGTCCCCAGAAGAAGGAACCACTTCTGAATATTCGCTGCCTGGAAAAACCTATAAAGGAGTTCCATAAGTCAGAATTGACAGCACACGATGATGATTCTATTAGACCAATTACTATATTTTAATCAAATCTTCGCCACTATACTCGCTTTCGGAGCTGTTCACAGGAGGGCCAGAATGCAGATTTTTGAGACCAACTAGTATGATCTCTTAGGATTTTCAGGAAATCTTCAAGAGTTCCTTCCTGTTCTTTGATAATTTAAAAAGTGTGAGTGAAGCTTCAGGCAGGAAAAAGAAGAAAATAGATGTCATGACTAATCTCTGTTTCTTAATTGCCATTTGTAAAACAGGAGTTATTGCTTGTTCAGCTTAAACCAGATGTTTGTGCTCCTCTGGTTTGCTTCCCTGGAGGTGGGCTCTCCGTAATCATAATAAGAACCAGGTTGGATTAGAATGAAGGCCTGTCTGGTCCAAGCATCCTGTTCACACAATGGCCAGCCAGATGTCTTAAGAGGAAGCCCACGAGCACTATCCTCCCTATTATGTTTCTCTTGGCTGGCCCAATCTTCCATAATTTTGTCCCATTCTCTTTTAAAGCTATCCAAGATAATAGCCATTGCTGACTTGGATTTTATCCCTTGCGCCTTCCCTGTCTTCCATCTTTCCTTCCCAAACTCCATCATTGCCTGTCTGTCAAAGATCTCCTGCTTTCTAGTATAATTTATTTGCTCTGACACATGACACATCTTTCCTTAATACACCCATGCAATAATGCTTTTTTCTTCCCTCCATGTGGTTTTGACCTAACTCTTTAATTACAGCATGGTCTGTTACATTTTTCAAAGAAATGTGTTGCCTTGTTCATTACTTTTTAGTGGCTGGGCTGCTCTTTATTTTTAATCTGGTTGAAGCACTTATTAAAAAAAACCACCACAGACTACCCAAAACAATATTTTCTTGGCCAGCTAGGATTAGTAAGAGGATGCAAAACCTGAAAAATGGCTATCAAAATACCTTAAAATGCTCTTCAAAAGTAATTTTTCAAGCGATTAGCATTTGCTCGCTACAGAACGCCTTCTCCCACCTAGATCTACCTGAGTCACTCGCTATAGCCAGGAAAGATGGCTGAGGGGCCTAACACTGAGAGAGGCCCGGAAAGAAAGAACAAGAAACTGGGCCTTCTCAGCAGTGGCCCCTCGCCTTTGGAATAGCTTGCCGCCAGAGATCCGCCTGGCACTCTCGCTGGGTGTTTCTAAGAGCCAGTTAAAGTCGTGGCTCTTTAGTATGCCTTCCCTCCTATCAATACCTGATTTTTAGTTTTTACTTTCATTTTCTCCATCTTGATTAATATTAATATTATCAATGTAACTCGTTTTAATTGTTTTTATGAATAACGGGATAAAAATCTAGCAAATAAATGAATACAGCTAAACTATAACTGGTGACAACCAGAGATTATTTATTTATTTATTTATTTACAATATTTTTTAGCCGCACCATTCCCAGTGGCTTCTGGGCGTGAGATGAACATGAACCACCAAATCGGCAGTTTGTCCTGGTTCATTTTTAATCTGAACTGGTGTTTAACCCTTCCCAGCCCTCCTTCCTCTGGCAGGCACCCGCTCAGAGGCAGCATCTGAAGGAGGAGGTGGGGCAAGGAGGCCAAACCACCACCTCTGAGAGGATGCCCACCAGAGAAGGGAGGGCTGGGAAGTGCCAAACACCTATTTGGCTGAAAAATGAACCGGCACAAACTGTCATTTTAGTGGTTCATGTCCATCTCTAGTTACAGCTAAAGATAACCAACTATATGGATATTTTTCTTCCTATAAGTGAATTTCCATGGAGCAGTAAAGAATTTAACCCAGGCCTCCTGTTTATTGGTCTAGCATTCTGTCCATTATACTGTATGTTATGATTGTCCAACAGTAATTTCTTCCAAGGCCTGCTCTTAGTTCTCACCTCCAGGTGAAATTGATAGGCATTCTGAATCACAAGCTACTAATCCAGTGGTTCTTAACGTGGACGATAATGCCCCCCAGGGGGCGATTTCATTTTTCAGGGGGGCGGTAGAATGAAAAGGGGCGGCATGGGGCCGCTGGAGCAAGCCAAACCTGTGAAGATGGCTGCAGCCTTTTTACAGTGTGCTTGAATATATATTTCCCTCCAATATTAATTTAGTTTCAGAGTTTTCGTCTTGAAATTTTTAGTTCCTGCATTGCGGTTTGTTTTATGCCCTTTTAATATTTCTTTTTGCGTCTTAAAATTCACTTGCAACTAAATCATAAAATGTTACTTTTTGGAGGCATTTCATTTTCTTGCAATTTAATTTTGTTTTCAGGGGTCATTGGATTTAAGTGTAACAAATAAATAAATAAATAAGAAAGAAAGAAAGAAAGAAAGAAAGAAAGAGAGATATCATCACCTCGGGGAGGGGGGCAATGATAACTTCCTCAATGGCTCAAGGGGGCATTTCTTTCAAAAAGGTTAAGAACCACTGTACTAATCTATGCATTTTCCATAAGAGAACCTTGCGGAAGTTTAGAGGGTGGGTGCTTAGTATTGGGCTTGTAGAAAAATGTTTAAGGATCCCCTTTAATTCCCAGTTGTTGTTTTTTTCCTCGCCACAGGCCGGTGCCAACATAAACACGGTGGACAAGTTGCATCGGACGCCTCTGATGGAAGCTGTTGCAAACAACCACGTGGAATTAGCACGTTACTTGATCAAAAGGGGTGGTTGTGTTTATACCAAAGTAAGGCTATAGAAGGAAAGCTGGACTTCTGGATCTCTGTTTCTGTGTTTGAGGAGGAGGTGCAGACATTTCTTAAGGGGCAGGTTGTCTAGGAAGACATTTTTGGGAGACTTGCAAAAGTACATTGATGGAGGACTAGAGTAGATTGTCCTCTTTCATGTTTTGGTGCCTTATGCAAAAAGCAAAAATAGTACAGACCTGCCTTTTCCTGTGATGTTGAATTTCTCACATGCCCCTCTGCTGTTAAAGGAACAAGAGCCTCACTGGTAGATAACTTCGACAAGAAGTGATTGGCACAGGATGATCTTTTCGAATTTCTTTACGTATTGCTGCCCTTCTGAGTTCTCAGCCTTCTGATTTCTTGTTATTCTACCCTTTACTTTCACTGTAGGAAGATGATGGCTCTACCTGCCTCCATCATGCTGCCAAGAATGGAAACGTTGAAATGGTCAGCTTGTTGCTCTCCACAGGACAGGTGGACGTTAATGCCCAAGTGAGTAAGGTGCTTGAGGGGGACAGAATTGGTGCCTTTTTCTTCTCCCGTGTAGTGTACTTTTATTTATTAGTTAGGTTTGCTGTATGTCCTTCCTTTCCTTCGGTGAATGTAAAGTGAGATGCATGGCTCTCTTTCCTCCAAACTTTTACCTCACAATAACCCTGTGAAGGTAGATTAGGTTGGGAGAGAAGGAATGGTCCGCAGCCCCCCCCTCCCTTTGAGCTCCCTGGTTCAATGGAGACTCTGATGCTGGGCCTCCCAAGTCCCCTGTCTGGCCCTTTTTCTGATCACCTGCTACCGGCTGTGTGGTGTTTCATTTTGTGCCATGTCTAAACGGCTTTTCTGTGCGTTTGGCGTGAAAGAGAAATGAGCGAGAGGCACTTGTACAGCTCGTCAAAAAGACACACTTTGTAAAACCAATGAATTGTAACGATGACATTCTGAGGTGAAAGGTTGGATCAGGTGAGAGGTAATCTTGGGTCCGCCAGTTATTCTGGAACTACAACTCCCAGAAATCCTGGCCAGGACAGCTATGGGTGAAGGAATTTGAGAGTTTTAGTCCAAGAATGTCCGGGGACCCAAGTTTGGGAACCCGAGAGAGAGAGAGAGAGACTATGGTGCCAGAGTGGAGACCATGGGATGGGTTTCCTGACAGAGAACTGGAAAGCAGCTGAGAGCGATAACGAAACGATAGTGGGATAAATGGACGGATAATCTGGCCAAAAGCATAGACTGTGGAGCTATAAGTAGCCATATGTGCCCAGTTTGGCAAATGGGGCACTGCCTCAGGTCAGGCTGTACCTGGCCACCCCACTCCCTGGGGCCTAAGTTCCCCTTCTGGTCCTGCACTCAGCCTCATTGTACTGAGAGAGGAGGAAAAAGGAGCGCCAAAAAGCCTCCAGCCTTCCCTCTGCCCATCACTACCCGCTGTGGCTTCTGACCCCATCAGCCAGAACAGTTTGTCAGCCACCGTCCGTCCCCCCCCAAAAAAATATATATATCACAAGCAGCCTTCTGAATGACAGCTATTAAGGAGTGGCAACACACCCAAACTCCTCTCCTTGACTTTGTTTAGGATAGCGGAGGTTGGACCCCCATTATCTGGGCTGCCGAGCATAAGCACATCGAGGTGATCCGCATGCTGCTTACCCGTGGAGCGGACGTCACGTTGACTGACAATGTATGTGAGTTTGGGGTGGGTGGGTCGGTGGGTGCAGCATTTTGTGGAGGGTGAAGCGCCAGAATCTGCCCAGTTGGCATGAAAGAGAAATGAGTGGGGTTTTGCCCTGGGCAGCCTGGAGCTTTTGCTTTGAAGAAATAAGGTGTCCGCCCTGGATGTGTGCCTGCGGTAGAATAAGGGAATGGAGGGAATTTGCATTTTAGACTACAGGGAAAGGTCTTCCTGCAAAAGCCATCAAGGACGGGGCGAGGAGGAAAAAAAGCAGTAGAAAAATTCTCCTGAAGATTTTGTCAGGCTGCCGTTGTCTTCTTCAGGGGACGGGTGGAAACTGGGTCTCCCCGCACGTCTGAGCTGTCACCCTCCTGTTCTGTCAGTTCACGGATGGACATTTTTATGAAGGTTACATGTTTTTTACACCCCCTGTAGGAGGAGCCTTGCACTGATACTCATTTAAAATTTAAAACAAGGGAGAACTGTAGGACTTGTGGTCCATTTGTGCTTTATTTTGGCCTTTTGGGCTTCACAGTCAGGGAGGTGGCTCTCTGTTGTTGTTGTTTTTTTGCTCCTGCCTGAAAGGCATTGGGTAGATTGACAGGGCAGTGTCTTCTTCTTGTTGGCTCCAGAACGGATGCTGTTACGACCTTTTTGAAGATACAAGTGGGATCCTGGTCACTTTTCGTTTCAGTTTTTCTGCCGTCTGGTGACTGCAGGCACGTTAGCGGTTCCGTGGCAGCGTGAGTGGGAGGAACCGGCCTTTTGAGCCACCCGAATCCTTCCTTGTCCCTTCAAACCCTGCCTTTTCTCTCCTCCCAGGAAGAGAACATTTGCTTGCACTGGGCCTCTTTCACAGGGAGCGCAGAGATTGCCGAGGTCCTGCTGAATGCCCAGTGCGACCTCCACGCGGTCAACTTCCACGGAGACACCCCTCTGCACATCGCTGCCCGGGAGAGCTACCACGAGTGTGTCCTGTAAGCAGCAGGGCTCTTGGTTTTGGCATGGTAAGGGATGGCAGGGTTTAGTCTGGAGGTTGTGGTGGCCTTGGCTTTTAACCTTTCTTTCCACCCCACGTCCCACGCCGCAGCCTGTTCCTCTCGCGAGGGGCGGACACGGAGGTGCGCAATAAGGAAGGGGATTCCCCTCTGGACCTCACCTTGGAGAACTCCGAAGTGTGGTTCGCCCTGCAGCTCAACCGCAAGATTCGCCAAGGCATCTTGAACCGCTCTGTTCGCACGGAACGCATCATTAGCAGGTGGGCAATGCCTGGGCAGTGTGTGAGTGTGTGTGTGTGTGAGAGAGAGAGAGAGAAAGAGAGAGAGAGAGAGAGAAGAGGTGAGAAAGGAGGACACAATTAGCTTTGTTTCTCCTTGCTGGGGAAGGTTGCATTTTTCACAGCGCAGATTTAAAAACTGGCAGGAGGAGGCTCTGCTGGCAGTGCTTTCTCAGTGGTGGGCCCCCTGGTTGTGGAACCTGCCGTTGAGGAGATTCAGCTTCACTGTTGACCTGTAGGGGGCAGCATTGTGCAGTGTTGTGTTTTGTTATGTCTTTACGCTTACTCCCAACTAGTTCTACCCGTGTCACCCGCGTGAGCCAGGAGATGAGGCTGAGGAGCCTGATGCTGAGGGAGGCGGTATAAATATAATAAATAAGTAAATAAAATAAAAATAAAAATATGACTTTTGGGCTGCACCATGTTTTACTTCAGCGTTATGTCTTGCATGTCTCCGTTCTAGGATTAAGACTTTAATATGATTTTTGGGCTGTACCATGTTTTACTTCAGTCGGCAGGCATTCCAGGGATCTTTGTGTGGATGGGCAACAGGGAGGGAAGAGAGAGAGATCATCATTGGAATAAAACTGGAGGGCTGGGAGGGGCCCCACGGATCATCAAGGCCAACCTGTCAAGGGAGGTGCTATGGGGAATCGAGTGTCCAACCTTTGGCTCCATAACGAAAGACCGAAACAGCTGGGAGGGGAGGGGTGGCAGCTATTTTAAATATGCCCTTTAAAGGCTTTCCACATGACTACATCAGTTCAAATTGCAAGAACGATACCTGTGAAGGAATGAGCAGGGGAAGTGAAATGAAATGTTATTCATTACCTGGGGGGTGGTTGTTTAATGTTTTTCTCCTAATCATTCTCTTCCATTGTTTTCTGTGAATCCATCATTGCTGTAACTTACAGACAGGGAAACAGTAGTCTGAAGCAATCAAATAGAATTTCAGAATGGACTTGACATTTGTTTTGCAGGGTAACGATGGAAGTGGATACAAAGATTACTAAACCATATGAATGTAAACAACAACAACAAGTATTCTTGATTATTTCTCGGGTCTCTTTGCAGGGACGTGGCCCGCGGCTATGAGAACGTCCCCATTCCCTGCGTCAACTCGGTAGATGATGAACCATGCCCGGATGATTACAAGTACATCTCAGAAAACTGTGAGACGTCCACCATGAACATTGACCGCAACATTACCCACCTGCAGGTACTTGCATCAACTTTTCCTTTCCAGAGGAACCATTTTTGAGACGGGAGAGAGTAGCTTAGAAATGAGCCCTCCTTTTAACAAAGGGAGGAGAACGATGCCTCCCATATTGATGTAGAAGGACGGAAGGGGGAAAAGCATGGCCCAAGCCCAGTTTCTAGCTATCCGAAGGACAGTTACTGGCAGAAGTAGAGTCGATGAGGTTGTACAGTATCATGGGTCCTAGATGAAATCAAGCCTGAACTATCTGCCAAGGCAAAAATGTTGAAACCGAGGCGCTTCTCCTGCTCTCGGTGCATCATGAGAAGGCAGGATTCCCTGGAAAAAGGCAATAATGCTGCAAAAGCTTGAAGGCAGCAGGAAAAGAGGAAGACCGAACATGAGAGAGATTGACTTCCTAAAGGAAGCCACAAGCTTGAGTTTGCAAGAGCTGAGCAGGGCTTGTTGAAGGAAGGACGTTTCGGAGAGCCCTCATTCATAGGTTCCACCGAAAGTCAGGGGCCAATTGACGGCCCATAAAAACATGACAGCAGCAACATGGGGTGGGAACGTTTAATTCAGGAGTCCATCCCAGGCGTGCAGAGTGTCCTGCTCGTCTCTCATCTCTTTTTTTTCCCCTCCTAGCATTGCACGTGTCAGGACGACTGTTCCTCCAGCAATTGCCTGTGTGGGCAGCTCAGCATCCGCTGCTGGTATGACAAGGTGAGTGTTTAGAAGAGGGTCCCTGATTGGCTTAATCAGAAGCAGGGGAACCGGAAGGAAAGCTAGATACTGTAAAAGGAGGGGGGGTGCTGGCTGCTGGAGAAGATGCAATTGGGGGGGGAAAAGGTGGCGGACGCCTGGTTCAAGACATTGGGTTGCTTCCAACACACCTCTGGCCCTGGGCATCTGAAGAGGACACCAACCTCCCTGGAAGACGTGGCAGGATTTTTCCTGTTAAGTCCTGGGGAGAAGAAGGGATTTTGTTAGGCAGAGAACGGTAGAACTGCGGTATCCACGGGGGGCGGGGGCAGTTCCAAGGCTCTTTCCCACATGGGTGGCTGAAAGATGGGCTCAGCGAAGCACTTCCAGTATCTCTGGTGTCCGTGCATGGTCAAGAGAGGGAGTCCTGACCTAGTCTTGCCAAAGGACTGAGTTTCCTGCCCTCCTGTTCGCAAGGGAGCCTTCCCTGACGCAAACGACTGCCGCTCCATGTCCTTCTCCCCCGGTCCCTGCAGATGCGGCTTCTCCGTTTCACCAGAAGCTGCTTCCCATGGAGGGGTCAGGCCCTGAGTGCGTTTCTGTGAATCCACCTGGATATAGCCTAGTCTCTGGTTTCATCTAGTAGTCAGTCCTAGTAATATGACTTGGGAAGTTTTACTTCTGGGAGGGATGGGTGGCTGGATGGAAGCAAGGAGGGACGCAAGCAAACATGCATGCATGCCTTTCCAGCACCACATAAACACCACTATGGGTACTGATCTGCAGAGGCAGCATCCGGTGGAGCTCTGGCAGCAGCCGTGCAGAGAAGGGGGAGGGAGTGATCCTGACTTGACATTGGCTCCCTGCCCCCATGACGCCCTCTTCCTCCTTTCCCTGCTGTTGTAGGATGGCCGTTTGCTGCAGGAGTTCAACAAGATTGAACCACCCTTGATTTTCGAATGTAACCAGGCGTGCACGTGCTGGAGGAACTGCAAGAATCGGGTCGTGCAGAGTGGCATCAAGTGAGTTTTCCCTTACCCCCACCCCCTTGCTCACGATCACCTAAAACGTGGAAGCGTGGGTTGTTGCCATTACATTATTCTGGGAACTGTTCTTCTCTCAGCAGCCACGTCCATCTCCAGGGAATGACATAAATTGTTTGGAGAGCTGGAAATAGTTTGTGGCTTAAAGCAGTGGTTCTCAACCTTGGGTCCCCAGATGTTCTTGGATAGCGACTCCCAGAAATCCTGGCCAGCACAGCTAGTGGTGAAGGCTTGCGGGAGTTTTAGTCTGAAAACATCTGGGGACCCAAGGTTGGGAACCACTGGCTTAGAGGGACAGTCCTAAGGTAGTGGGAAACTGAAATGGAAAGTAAAACGTTGCCGGTAACTCAGTTGCCTATAACAAATTGCTTTTGCAATAAGGGTGTGTGTGTGTGTGTATAATAAAGTGAATGCTTCAGAGGTAATGTAACAAATGGGGGAAAGTGACTCTGGTGATGTAATGAATAAATTGTTCTAGTTATTACCAAATATTTCTCTTTCAGGCATTTGTAGAGGTTCTTTAGAAATAATTCTCTTTTCAGTTCTATATGAAGTCATCCTGGCATTAGTGATTCTTGGTAATGAAAGACCTCATTCTTCTGTCCTGGATCTCTCTTGGCTTCCTGATGGTGTAAGAGATTGCATAGGAGCCATGAGAACTTTGGGACAGAAGTAGGAAATCTTTATTTTCAAAAAAAACATAGTCCCTACCGATGACATCATCAGCCTTATGTAGGCGCAGCTGCACGAGCAGAATTTCAGCCATGTGTTTTGCATTCTAGTGAGTATTTCCAAGGTGCAATATCAGAAATCGCCAACCAGAGGATATTTCCCTGTATTTTTTAAAAAATGTGCTGATAACAAAATAGCACATAATCCAGCAATGCTAAAAGTACTATGCCAGGTTCTTGGGGCGGGGGAACTAAATCACAGCATTTACCAGTGGAACTCAGTGTCACAAGACATGGCAATTGAAAGCCATCTAGTTGGATGGATTTCTTCTAAAAAATTAAGTGGTGTCTCACTTAGCGATGTTAATCCATTCCGGAAAAAACATCGCTAAGTGATTTAATTGCTAAGTGATATTAAAAAACCCATAGGAACGTATTAAAACGCGTTTAATATGTTCCTATGGGCTAAAAACTTAGCTTAAAGCGAAATTCCTCCATAGCGGCAGCCATTTTGGGTGCCTCTAAAGCGAGGCAAAACAGGGCGGCCATTTTGGAACCGCCAATCAGCTGTTTAAAAAAGTTTGCTTTGCCATAATCACTTCCCCGGAAATCGCCAACCAGAGGATATTTCCCTGTGTTTTTTTTAATGTGCTGATAACAAAATAGCACATAATCCAGCAATTCTAAAAGTACTACTCGAAGTTCTGGGGGGGGAACTAAATCACAGCATTCACCGGTGGAACTCAGTGTCACAAGATATGGCAATCGAAAGCCATCTAGTTGGATGGATTTCTTTTAAAAAAATACAAGCTATTATTTATTTACAGATGATTATAGACACACCCGGAAAAAACATCGCTAAGTGATTTAATTGCTAAGTGATATTAAAAAACCCATAGGAACGTATTAAAACGCGTTTAATATGTTCCTATGGGCTAAAAACTTAGCTTAAAGCGAAATTCCTCCATAGCGGCAGCCATTTTGGGTGCCTCTAAAGCGAGGCAAAACAGGGCGGCCATTTTGGAACCGCCAATCAGCTGTTTAAAAAAGTTTGCTTTGCCATAATCACTTCCCCGTGACCATCGCAGTGAATTTTAGCCATAGGGGACATCGCTAAGCAGTCGCTCCAGCGGTGGCCAAAAGTCCATCGCAAAGCGATTTCATCGCTCAGTGATCGCTAAGTGAGGCATCACTGTACAAGCTCTTATTTATTTACAGGTGCTTAAAGACACACATACAATATGCTGATTTATTTCCTCTCAGCTAAAGAAAAAAAACTGATTTCATCTCTGGGATTTAAAGTTTTTTAAAAGAGTCGTTTTTCAAACCAGTACGTTATACTTGGAAGAACCTCTTGTGAATTTGAGTTAGGTTGAGAGATGCTGACGGGCGAAAGGTTCACTTCATTTCATGCAGATTGTTTAATTTTTCCCCAGTTCTAGGTGGACATTTTGACCACTGATGGAGAAACTTCTGGCCTCGTAGATTTTGGACTCGCTTCCATCCTCCATAACTTTTGGCCTTGTCGGGGAGGGCCTCTGAGATCTGTAGTGCCCAAATTCACGTTTCCTAATGCTCGTCTTAAAAAGGGTCTCGATAATGCTGCTTCTGTCTTGGTCTCCTTCCCTGCAGGGTCCGTTTGCAGCTCTACCGCACTGCCAAAATGGGATGGGGCGTCCGCGCGTTACAGACGATTCCCCAGGGGACTTTTATATGCGAGTGAGTGGCCGGGGAGGGGAGGGGAACCCCTTTTCTCTTCTTCTGAGGCTCTGTCCATATAGAAAAGACAAAGTGGGAAGGCAGTGGCAAGGTGTTCCCCAGACCTAAGTGAGACAGTCGCCTCAGGGATCAGATATCAGGGGCCCCCAAAAGGCAGCAACACATTTCTTATCTGCCTTGCCTTATGGTTGTTTGACCACCAAAGACAGGAGGGATGGGGGTGCGGGCTTCTGGATTTTCTGCTTTATGTACCAACAGGTATCTCAGCTGGCTTTGGCAGGCAGGTAAAAACACCATCTGCTGCCTCAGGCAGCAAAATGTGTTGGGCAGGCCTTACCCTACCCTCAAGGGCTGGTGTTGCCAGGCCTGAGACGTCTTGGCTGAGGTTAACGAGTCACTCCCTCAGCAGTCTAGATTACATCTTTTTCTCTCTTTCTTTCTTTGTCCTGCGCTTCCTGAGGTATGTGGGGGAATTGATTTCGGATGCCGAAGCAGACGTCAGAGAAGACGACTCCTACCTGTTTGATCTCGACAATAAGGTAAGCTTGTTCAGCGTGCCTGGTTTGTCTTGGAGTCGGAGGCTTTGTGGGCACTTGTGAACAATGCAGGGCTCAATCTAGCTGGGCCCTAAAACAGCTACACCGCTGGACAAGGGTTCTTGCCTCACATACAGAGCCCACATGGAGACGGGAACCTCCTTGGAGGACCAGTCCCTTCCCATGTAGAAAAAGCAGTGATTTTTAGGGAAGCAAGCGAGGTGCTTCCTTCATAGTGTGCTGGATAAAGACAGACACACAACACCTGAATAGGTAGGGCATTTGACTGGGGGTGAAAGAACATGGTGGCTTGCATGCAGCAAGTGGCTTTCAGCAACCTTGCCCAACCCACATTTTAAAAAATAGTTTTTAATGGCTCTGAAAACCCCTTTGTGCTGTCTGAGGGGTATAATTTGGCTATGCTTAGAGGACTCCCAGCAACTCCTTGTCCTCACCTCTAATGACTATTTATTTATTTCCCCATTGCTATGCTTAGAGGACTCCCAGCAACTCCTCTGCCCTCACCTCTAATGACTATTTATTTCCCCATTAGATCAGTGGTTCCCAACCTTGGGTCCCCAGATATCCTTGGACTACAACTCCCAGAAATCCTGGCCAGCACAGCGAGGCGGTCTAAAGGCTTCTGGGAATTGCAGTCCAAGATTACCCAAGGTTGGAAACAAAAGACACGAGGAGTCTTGTTCAATAAAACAGTACCCTATTTGTTTTTTTAAAAAGATAAAAATTTAAATCCTTTAAAAATATTTGAATAGTTACTGTTTTTGGCTTTTAAATATTGTCTTTTTATGATGTAAGCCGCCTTGGGTCCTCTTTAAGGAGAAAAGCCGGGTAAAATTATTTTAAATAAATAAGGAACTGCCTGATTTGAAATTAAATTGTCTCTGCTCCCTCCCGACTTCTGGGCAGGATGGCGAAGTCTACTGCATCGATGCCCGTTACTACGGCAACGTCAGCCGCTTCATCAACCACTTGTGCGACCCCAACATCATCCCTGTGCGGGTGTTCATGTTACACCAGGACCTGCGTTTCCCCCGCATCGCCTTCTTCAGTAGCCGGGATATTCAGACCGGTGAAGAGCTCGGGTCAGTGCTGAGAAAGGGCCTGTGGGGAGGGGCCGCAGAGCTTGGAAATGTTCCGCTTTTGTTAAAGTACAAATGCCACGGTCCCCTAGCTAGCATGGCTTAAACTGAGGATTTTTGAGAAAATGTACTCAAAAAAAAAGAGAGGACCATTTCTGACAATAGACAAACAAGACTGGGATTTAGTGGTGGTGGGGGATGAAGAAGGTGGGTGATGAGGAACTGTGTGTATCCATTTGTATGCTTGTGCTGTTTCAAAATACAGTAGGAGATGGTATCTGCAGGGGATCGATTCCACAGCAGATGTGAAAAACGGCAGAAGTAGCCAACACTGTGCTTTGCATGGTTTCTGGCTCCCTCTAGTGGCCAGTTCTGGTAAATATGATGTGAAAATAAATACTGTACAAATATGGTGGTACCTCGCTAGACAGTGACCTTTCAAAACCACGAATCCGCATGACGATGACGTTTTGCGATCGCTATAGCAATTCGCAAAACAGTGATTCCAATGGCCGATTTCCGCTGGACAATGTTTGGGTCCGTGCTTCGCAAACCGATTTTCGCAAGATGACAATTTTGCACTTTGCAAAACGGGTGTTTTCGGGACCGATACTTCGCAGGGCAGACATTTTAAAAACTGATCTGCGCTTCGCAAAATGGCTTCCCTATGGGCGATCTTCGCCGAACGACGACGCTTTTTCCCCATTAGAACGCATTAAACGGGTTTCGATGCATTCCAATGGGGAAACAGTTTTCGCAAGACAATGTTTTCGCTAAACAGCAGTTTCTATGGAGCGGATTATCGTCGTCATGCGGGGCACCACTGTACATATTTCTGGTAATTTTTATTTACTAGTTTCAGGCAGCAGATAAGTGAATCAGTGGATACTGGTCCCACAGATAGGGGAGGTCCTACTCTAGGAAAAGTACCCCTTGGTAGGTACAACGTGGGTCCTCCCGCTCTGAAAAAGGGTGGTCCTTACTAGATTTGTGTTCCAAGGCATCTCACAGACACACACAGTGGAAGGACGCTTTCGGACTTGTAGCTGTGTTGGTTTGTGTTTCAATGAGAAACACAAAACAAAATAAAAAAGACATGGCACTTTAAAGACATAACTATATTTTAATGTAAGCTTTGGTAGAAGGTGGTCTACTTCAGACGTGTGAATTAGAATACAGGGACTAAATGGGAAAACATTCACATGAGCCTCTAAGAGACAGTGGCGTTTGGTGGCATTTCACATCTTCTAATGACCGATGAGCCCCTTAACTGCTTCTTTTCCTTCCCTGCTCTGGCCCGCAGGTTTGACTATGGCGACCGCTTCTGGGACATCAAGAGCAAATACTTCACCTGCCAGTGCGGTTCGGAAAAGTGCAAACATTCGGCCGAGGCCATCGCCCTGGAGCAGAGCCGCCTCGCCCGGCTGGAGGCTCACCAGGACGTCTTGCCGGACAGCAGTAGCCTTCCTGCCGCTCAGGCCTAAGCGGGGTTTCGCTGCCAATCCTGGACTCAGGAACCCTTCCTTCTCCCGGCCGTCTCCCACCGACCGTCGGCAGCTCCTTTGAGGCTTAGCTTCCCTTCTCCATGTTGAGTTCACCTGGATGGAAACACCCTGTTGCTGAATGCGGAAGAGAGAACGGGGGTGGGGGGGAGTGTGTGTCCTATTCCAGGGGATGAAAAAAAGGGGACCTCTTGAGAAGACGCTGGTTCTTCAAGACAACAGCTCCAAAACTAACTTTTACAGGCTCTTGAGAAGGAAACCAGAGAGAGAGAGAGAAAAGCCTGGCGTGTGGTCTCTCTGAAACGCAGGTGGCCCAGCAAACAGATCAGCTATCTCAAGCTCCCACTTGCTCCTTTAGGCATGGGGGGGGGAGTCACGGGCAATAGAAACTGGTGCTAACTCTTCATATGAGCCCCCTGGAACGTGGGTGGGCAACCCAGGATCTGGATGTGGCCCTCTGCCTGTTGCGGTGGCTGCCCTCCACCTTCTCATGCTGCCAAAACTCACTCTTCATTTCCCTTTGCTTGGAAATGCGTCTCTCGGGCTAAGCTCCAGGTTTCGGCTCCTCTCGAGTACACCTGTTGAAACGGAGCGGACTCGTCATGGCAGAGGTCATGTCGTTTTCTTTCATTCCAGTGGGATCTGCTCTAGTTTGTATGAGAGGTTAGATGCTGCCCCTCCTCACATTTCAGGCTGAATCTTGTTTCCCGGAGGTGGGATTCAGCTGGAAAGTGAGGCACGCTCCTCCTGGATTCTGTCAGCGTTGCTTGCGCCTTCACTGCAGCCTCAGGAAACCTCTTGTGTTTTTTTTGCTGCCCGTCTGAGAGTGCGTGTAGGAAACGGTTAAGTTAACATTTGCTCTGGCAGATAACACAGACCTGATTATTGAGGGCTATGAAGTTGACAAGGCTGCTGCCTCGTGTTGGTAGCCCTCTGTACGTTTACGGTCACTCTCTCTCCCTTATTTTCTCGTCTGACTTCCTTTCATGACTGGAAAAACATGGATGTCTTTGGCGCCTCCCCCACCCTTTTTACCTTGCTCTGGTCCAAGTTAACATTCAATTTCTGGTCAGGACAGCTTGGCCTCCAGTTTGGAGGGGCCTCTTCTCGGAGCTGCCCTGCTCCCCTGTGAAGCCCTGGAATGGCAATGGAAGTGTGATTTCAGTTTTGAGGGGCCAGCCTTATCTCTCTTTTCTTTCTCTCACTTTCTCTTTTCTATGTGTTTTCATCTCTCTTTTTTTTTTACTCTTTAATTTTCTGGGGCCATAAAGAAAACCAATAAATTTTGGCGATAGGGTGATTTTGATAAAAGCTGAGGTGGACTGTGTGTTTTCTCTCACCTTGCTCCGTCTCCTCTCCTGGGCGTACAACCTGTATTTGAAGTGAAATGTACATATACATCCTAGAAGCGGAGGCAACCTATTTTGAGTTTAGGGGGTTCTGAAGGTCCTCTGGGGATGACCGAGGGAATCTCCCTGCTATGGAGGATGGGGGTGATTTGTTGCACCCCCTACCAGAGGCTGGAGATAAGACTCCTCCTTATATATTGGACACTGACTGACCATAGAGGCCGAGGGATTAATTTTGTAGGGGAGGGTCATGCAACAGCATCATTTTTAAAAATTTAAGATTCTCAAAAAAGCATTCATTACAGGCCAAAATGTCTAATTTACAGCTTAAGTTCCCACCCAGGCTGTTTACATTTCTAAAACCCTGCAGTTTAAAATGAGCAGAGTAAATGCTGTTAAATTGGCTCTTATCTCCAATCCTAAGGGATCAGTGATAAGAATCCCAGTGGAGGAGAGGAAACGGGGTTTAAAGAAGAAACTCAGGCTGGAAAGCCCCCAGCCGTGACATTCAGAAACACATAGGAGTGTCTCTTCAGCGTATAGAGGTAAGTTTACTAATGATGAGCCTACTTTTTAAAGGCATAGCTACAAAAATAAATTGGCACCCTAGAAGTGGCAGCCAATAATCTTCAGTGTTCTGGGCTAAAGACAGTGGCAGTGGCCACACGGGGTTGCTCATGTTATGTGTTCTCGATTTGCATCTGGACTTGGGAGAACCTCTTGGGAGGTTTCAGAATACATGAGATGTTTTAAGGAGTGGTTTTGCCATTGCCACCCCTGAGTGAGCTTCCCATAGCTGAGTGGGGATTTGACCCCAGGTCTCCTGAATCCTAGTTTGCCACGCCATCCATTATTGCCACACTGCCTCTCCATGTGCTTAACCTTGCCCCATTTTAGAGGCCCAGCAAGGACTTGCAGTGAACGGCAAACTAGCCTCAAGAGGTTTTCTTGGGACCAAAGAAAGGGAAATAGAACGCGGAGGGAACAACACTACAATTTGTTAACTTTCCAGATTTTCCTCTCTTTTGCTTGGCAGGCTGCACTAGGCTCTCCTCTGCTCCACCATTTTCTCACAGTAACTTTGTGCAAGAATTTAGACCAGGGGTCTCAAACATGCGGCCTGGAGGCCATTTGTGGCCCGCCAGATGATAGTTTGCGGCCCCTGCCTTGCCTGCCCCCCCCGAAGCGCCCACGCGTCCTCTGCTGTCAAGAGAAAAAAAGCCTTGCCTCACTCGCTGAATGTCTCCCAAGACAGCGCCTCTTGCACCCTCCATCCGGAACTGCAGCCTGCCAGCCGCGGATGGAGGGTGCAAGAGGCGCTGTCTTGAGGGTGAGCCGGCAAGTGAGGCGTGCTGCCAGCCTTTTTCCCCGAGCGCCTGAACTGCCGCCGAGTGATCCCTGAGAGCGGAGCTCGCTCCTGGCCTGTCCTCGAAGAGTGCCTCCAAGCTGCTGACAGCAGCTGCCGCCGCCTCTTCCAGGAAAGCAGCTGTCTGGCTCTGTTTCTCGGTACCCCTCAGCACCAGCCCGGCCAGCGGCCGCCTCAACACCCGGCGATACTTCCTCCTCCTCCTCGTCCTGCTTCAGCCGCTGCTGAGTACGCCTTTTTTTGAGAGGGGCCCTCAGAGGAAGGTTGCTGGACTTCCATGTGTGTGCCCCCACCCCGTTCAGTTTAATTTCACTGGTACCGATGGAGGCTTTTCTCCTTTGGCAAGGCAATTCGGTGAGGGTGTTTTTTTTGTTTTTGTTTTTTTAAATTCAAGTCATGCTCTCCACCACCACCACCCCCGGCTAGGCGGTCGCTGGCTCTCCCTTCTCCGATTCTTCTGCTGCTAGTGGTGGTAGTGAAGAAGGAGCTAGAAGGGGTCGTGGCTGGTGAGGAGGTCTCGCACGCCCCTCCTCTTCCTCAGAGCCCCAGCCAGGCTAAGGAAACTTCTGAGCGCCTTCCTTGGACTCTTGCTCCGCTTGGCGGAAAATCTGATGCGGCCCAGCCTCACCCAGACTCAGCCTCCAGTAGCCCTCAGGTAAATTGAGTTTGAGACCCATGATTTCGACCAAGAGGCTGTAAAAAGCCCTGTCAGCTTTATGGCCAAGTGTTAATTTGGACCTAGGACTTGATTTCTAGTCCAACCACCTTAAACCACTAAACCGCATGGGCAGCTTGCACAGTGATCAAGCAGGAAGGAGGAAAAACCATCTTGACTTTTCCTGGAGAAAAAGTCAAGATAGAAAGGGAACAGATAAATAAACGTGTGAAAATGCCCAACCGCAGCCTTCCAGTTTGACTCAGGTCTCCTCCAGGAGGGCTGTATAATCCAAAATGTGCAGTCGCTCAGCTGTTGTTGCACATGGTATGACTGTACCAGATATGCAAAGGGTAGAGTTCACCTGGATGCCATTTGCATGGAGGAAGACCAGCTGGCCCTTCTTGAAATTGTTCAGCGACCACCTAATACAAACACGGATGCAGTGAAAATTACAACGCTCTTGACCTAACTTAACAGTGAGGACTCATTCAACAGAGATACATTGAATGGTGTGTGTTTTTTCTCTTTGGGTAGGTTGCCTATTACTGTATTTGCCTATTCTCTTAGGTTTAGGTTGCCTATTATTTGTTGCTTTGTTCTGAAACAGCTACAAGAAGTGAAAGTTGGCTGTAGTCCCTTAGAAAGGGAAGAAAAACTATTCTCTGACTAACAGTTTCCCTATATTCACAGCTGGAATAGTCCCTCAATAATTTTTAAAGAAGGCTGTAAACAGCCTGTTGAAAAAACATAAGCCATTTAGCTATTTCAAGCCAGTAAGAATTTGAATTACAGGTATTTTGGTTGTAGGTTTTTTGGGCCTTTTGGCTGTGTTCTGGAGAGACCAGCCAAACAGCCCGAAAAACCTACAGACACCATCTGATCCAGGCCGTGAAAGCCTTTGAGAATACATTATACAGGTATTTTCTTTGCAGCTTTTGGAATTCCTCTAACACCCTGGAACATGCATTGGGACGAGGGCCTCCAGAGTCCACTTCGGAAGCCTTTGTCCAGTGGAGAAAATGCAGAAAGAAGCAACGTTCTCTCAACCTGCTCGTAGCTAAATTTGTAAAAGAGGAGACTCATCTGTTACTTCCCCATTAAAAAAACAACAACAATGATTTTCAAAATTAAAAAGTTGTATTCTTCAGAGAGACACCAGCACACCCATTGTGGAGGAAATGGATTAATGCTAAGACCCACAAAGAGTTTATATCCCTTCTGCAAATCTCTGGCGGGCTTTCAGAAGGCGACGGCATAAAATCAACCTTACAAAGCTGTTGTGGCTGCCTCAGAGTGATTGTGAGCGTATTTGGTGGCATTTCATTCAGGGTTTGTATTGCCAAAGTAAGCTATTGCCGCACTTCCGGCTGAAATTTCATTCCAGTCCTGGATGACGGAAACTGGTTATTGGCCATTTTTTTAAGGTTCTCTGATATCTGTGGGAAATAGATTTGAGACGATAAAGCAATAAAGGACTGTTAATTTAAAAACTTGATGTGTGGAAAAACAGCCAGAACAAAATCAATATGGGCCTACCCAACTCACTTCGTCTCTGTTCTGAGCGCAGGGAATGTTCCTTCTGTTTTTGGTTGTGGCTTGTGAGGGTGACCAAGCAGTGCTTTGAAAATGAAGCATTTGTTACTTGGGTTCTCTTAGGGGCACAAAAATGTTTCAATGGCTGCTTTTTCCTTTCTGTTTTATTTTTTTCTGCACAATCAGTTTTCTAAGAACGGATGTGTGTTGCAGAACATCTATTTTCCTTAAACTGTGGCAAGGCTGCAGCAAACTTTTCTTTTACGGGTTTGATACAGGGTGAAGAGAAAGATGATAGATAAACCACTAAGCACAGGAATGCAGTTGTAGTGTGGGGCACACATCTCCTATAAGCTGCTTTCTGAAGTCCTGCTCTTTTTGACCCCGCGTGGGTTGCTCTAGAATAATTTTTACCACTGACTTGCCTCCTTGATTAGTATTATGCATCAGAAAATTTTCCAGAAACTTGTCCACCTGTACACAGAGGCAGCAAAATGTTTATCTTGCAAAATAGAGAGTAAGAAGCTAGTCAGTTACCTCCTAGACAAGAGTTGGATGTATTTATTTTACAAAGATCTCTATATTTCTCGCTTTAGTGTGGTCTTATCCCAGGACACATCAGGCCAAATGATCTCCCATACAAGAGCTGTGCCTCTAAACCTCACCTTATTGGTGTATGGAGTGGGGTCCCCATGCATTTTCAGCACTGACCTCTAGTGGAAAACTGGAAGTGGCCCCTTTTAGAGCCCTAAGGCATTTTCCTGTTGGACCACTGGGCATCGCGTATTGACAGATGCCACTCTAAACATTATCTCTTTTTTAAAAGAGGGTTTCTGGCGGGATGAGGCTTACAGTCAAAAGGATGGACTCCTGGATGGGAGAGGGCTTAACATTTTGACAGGAGGTTCCTCATCTTGCCACTGTATTGCTCAGGTCTTGCAAACTCAAGCCCATAATCTGCTTTCTTGAATTAATCCATCGCACATTAAGTCTTCCTCTTTTCCTACCGCCTTGGGCGTTCCCCAATATTATTACCTCTGGTAGGGGAGGATAACAATTTTTAGCATGTATACATTAGTCAAACAGCGACGTCTACATTGGCTCAGGCATGTCGTGAGAATGGCTGACGGTCGGATTCCAAAAGATCTCCTGTATGGAGAATTAGTGCCGGGAAATTGCCCCAGAGGGAGACCACAGCTTTGATACAAGGACATCTGCAAGCGAGATCTGAAGGCCTTAGGAATGGACCTCAACAGATGGGAAACCTTAACATCTGAGCATTCAGCCTGGAGGCAGGCGGTGCATCATGGCCTTTCCCAATTTGAAGAGACCCTTGTCCAGCAGGCCGAGGCAAAGAGGCAGTCCCGGAAGCAGCAAAATCAGGGAGCTGGACA